TCTCTGTCATTGCTCGCTTCCTTTTCATCTCTGTGTGCCTCAGTTTCCCTCCCTGTGAGCGCACAGCCACACCTGTGTCCATTACCCAGAGCCCCAGGGCTGCTATGGGTCTCTAGATTTGTCCCCAGCACAGCCCGTGCGGTTGGCAGGAGGGCAGGCACAGCTCTGCGTGGGGCCACGTCCCCATCCCCAACCTCTTATGAGAGAAGCAGCATTTTTTTTTTACTCCAAGGCCGCGCCGCTCTCTGACAGTAAATCGATGCTACTGTAAACACAGGAACAAAGGAGCCTGCACAGGAGAGGGGGACAGAACAAGGAAAAGGGAGAGATGGAAAGCTGATAAGCAACCAAAGCTGAAACAATGTTGGGAAAAGCTGAGCTGCTTCAGCACCTATTCATACCTCTGCTGGAGGTGGTCACCAGCACGTTCCCAAGGCCATCAAGGAAGCGGTGCCCACTGTGGGTTGGGAGCTGAGAGAACTGGGTCCCCAGGGAATGGTTGGGTGGTCTCACACTCTTGTTTGTCCTGTTGCTTCTGCAGTGCATGTGGGTTCCCTTTAGGTCCTCTGGGAGGGAATACCATGGGAAACTAGGGCTTTATGAGCCAAGAGCCATGGCTTGCTTCTGTCCAGCTCTGCAGTGAAAGAACAGCTTTGGAGCCTGGCATGCTTGATTTTTTGATGGTGTCTGGCTGCCCGTACCGACAGCTCACCAAGGTATGGGTTTGGGGTTTAATCCATTGCATATTGGCCAACAAAACCACGGGACGTTGTTTAAGATCATGCTGATCAACATGGCAGGAACACAGGTTTCCACAAGCATTCATTAGCCAGGGGAGGTTCACGTTGGTTAACAGAAATAATTTCTTATCCAAAAGAGTGTTGAGGTATTGGCACAACTGCCTGGAGAAGCGGAGGGGTCACTGTCCCTGGAGGTGTTCCAGAGCCGTGGGGATGTGGTACTGAAGGACATGGTCAGTGGGCATGGTGGGACGAGTTGGGCTTGGGCTTGGAGATCTGTGAGGTCTTCTACCTTCCGTGATTCCATGGTGGAATGAAACCTGCTTGGACATTTTGCTGGGAACACATGCCACGGAAAATCTCAGCCTTCAATGGAGGCTGCATCTCCCTGGGGGCTTGGGGTTTAAGTATGGTTGTTCTCTAGCTGTTCTTGGGTAGGTTGCATGAAAGAGTTTATGTGAATGATCCTGACTGGGGAGAGGGGAGTTCAGTGCGTGCAGCTTGGTCCCCAAGCCCATCCATCTAGAAGGAATCAACAGAGCAGCACTAAACGTAGTTTCCAGCATGGCAGTGGTTGGGCTTAATGGAAGCACTCAGAGTGCTGGAGCTCCTCAGGTTAAAGACTATGTGTACAGTGAGTTAAAAAAGCAAACAGTGTGAAATTTTGCGTGTGTTTTGCTATAGCTGTCTTCATTTATGAGAAACAAGTCGTGTAATGTACCTCTTGCACATAGCTTGTTTATATAGGATGTACTTATTATTCCAGTGGGAGAGAAATCTGGTAGTTGTGATTATCGTTTCTGAATACGTTACCCACATAAGGCATAAAATTTGAATATGATGGTAAAATAGCAGAAACAGGTTTCATAGCTATACATGCGTATCCCTCAGCCATGGGAAACATCAGCAATTTTAACTGAAAGGTGGAGGGAGGTGAATTTAATACAGCGCAAAAATAAAGGTAATCCCAACAAAAGGCAAGCATGGAGCAGTTACCAGAGTCACCACGGGCAGAGACAGTGCATGTTTTGTGTCCAACAATAGCGGCGTACGTGACTTGAAACGCTCCTTCCTTATAAAACCAAATACCCACTGGTTTGGCTTATTAGCACTAATCTTCAAAGGGAAGCACAGAGCTGAGGTTCGCTGAGCTCAGACCTGGGAGCTCGGCTCTGCTCTCTTCACAACGCGCCACCGTGGCCCACACCGGACTGTGCACACCAGCTTTAACCTCCTGTGTTTCCACCAGGAGTGCCCAAAGCTGTGCAGAAATCTGTCTCTGCTGTGTGGTTTACTTGAGAGAGCGCTGCAGTTGAACTTGCACTGACTCCTCGCAGAGTACATCGGGTTAAATGGACTATTACAATGGCAGGAGCTCATCTGGAACTAATAATTTTTGAGGCCACCAAAAGTAAAAAAAAAAAAGAAGTTTAAAAAAAAAAAAAAAGAAAAGAAAAAAGCGTGGGGGGAGAAATGGTGGTGAGTTTTGTGGCCGGTGCCTAAAGCTTCTGCTGCCATCTACTGCATGTGGGTGGCAGCGGGACCGGCTGCGAGCGGGCTCGCTTGGGACTGAGGCTGCAGAAGAGGTTAAAGGCGAAGGATGGGCGCTGGGGGGGTGGGAGCTGCCCCCAGCTGTGCCCTCAACCCCGGCTCACAGCACCGCGGAGCATTGGGATGGGATGCCACAAACCCCCAGAGCGATGCTCGCCCGGTCGCAGGTCTCAGCCCGGTGTTGTCACCCCTCTCCAGGATTTTGGCTCTGCACTGTGGGAGCGCTAACAAAGCTCTCCCCAGCCTCACTCAAATCAGAAAAGCACGGGCACATGGTGGCCAGCATCTGTTTTGCCTCAGAGCGCAGCACAGAGGCGGGTGCTGGTGGTGGACCCACGCGCTGGAGCCAGCTCAAGCATTACGGTGCTCGCCGGCCTGGCGAGACAATAAAGGGAGCCTGTTTATTTATGATGGCTGGGCTCTAGCAGGTCGCTGGCATGGTCTCCAAGGGCAATGCATTCGAATCCCTTTCTCAATTTTCTCTCTTCCATCTCTCCGGGCTGCCTTCTGTTCTTTGTGCCTATTCTCCCAGGAGATGTGGTCTCGAAACAAATAGCTCACCAGCGCTGCGGCTCTTGGTTGCGAGGTTAAATAAGTTTAGGAGGAAAAGTACATTGGAGATGGTGCTGATCCAAAGGAAGGAGCCAAGCACACCATTGTCTTGAGGAGCTCAGAGCCCGCCGCGGTCATTTCCTGGGTACATCGGCATGTTGGCTAGGAGTTGCTGCGAAGTGGAACTGGATTAAAAATAAAGCTGCTCTTGTGACAAAACAAACAACTGGGAATTGGCCTCTGGGCTTCTGTTCCTGGCTTTATGAAGGAGCTCACCACCATAAGGGAAAGGGAAGCTGTGGGATTCGCAGAGCCAGGGAGGATGCTTGCAGTCAGGGCAGCCCTGCTGAGAGCATCACTGCGGTGCCATTCTCTGCCTGGCTGCAGGAGGGACCTCTGGGCCAGGCTGCGTTGTGTGGGAGACCAGGAGGAGCCCCAGCTCCTTCTCCTGCCGTTACCCTCTGTGTTCTCAGGGTTGGGGTAATGCAAAGTGCTCAAGAAGCCGTTCTCACAGTCAGATGGGAATGAAAACGTGCCAAAAAAATGTTGAGTGCAGCTGGATCAGGTTGTGAATTCTTTCTCAGAGGGTGTCTGCTTCCCTCCACAGGCAACAGAGAGATCCAAGGAAAGTCAACATTCTCCTTGGCTCCTGGAGCTGTGAAGTTGGGCGATGGGAATGCCACACTTTGTCCACCTTTGCCTCTGACTCTCTGTCCCTAAAACACATTGCCCTCCTGCACAGGCGGTGTCAGGTGGCAGCAAGCTTCAGGGTGTGTTTATTTGACTGCCACTCAGCTCACAGCCCCACTCCCCATTCACTGGCTGTCCTCCTGGCCTTCTTCCCTCCGTGGCTGTCTAGTCGTCATCATCCTCCATCTGGGAAGCAGTGGGATGGGTTCCAGACAGCCCCAGGCAGGTGCTCACACCAAATAGGAGGTCAGGCCCCGGGCAGGGTAATACTTCCAGGCACTGGGTGAACTCAGCCATGAGGATCTGGAGGATGTGGGCTTCTGAGTGCTGATAATTCACAGGGAAGTAAGAAACATGTGCCTTAGAAGAGCCTGGGCTGCCGTTTTTCTTGTCTCAACGTTTGGCAGGTTGAGGAGCTTGTGGCAGGGCTGTGATGGTTAGCATGGATGGTGAGCACAGCTCTTTCCTTCCCACAGACCGTCCCTTCGCTCCTTAAAGGAGGGACTGGGCTATCTAGGAGCTCTTGGCTCCCCATCCTAAATTCCAGCTTGCGTTCTGCTGTGAAATATCCTCAGTTATTTCATCTTTCCTGCTGAGAAAGGCTAAACATAACCGTTTAGGAGTCTGGCATGAGGAACTCGGGTTGCTTACTCAAAAGAGGAGCAGTGAGCCAGACCTTCAGCTGCACTCACTCAACATCAGAGTGCATCTATTTGTGAAATGCTTAACCCCCGCTGGGAAGGGCTTCTGCAGTCATAGCAGCGTAGAATCCTTTGAGTTGGAAAGGGACCTTTAAAGGCCACCTGGTCCAACCCTAATGCAAAGAACAGGGACACCCACAGCTCCATCAGGGTGCTGGCTGGAGATGTCCCTGTCCTCACCATGCTGCTGCCACGGAGAGGGAAGTGGGTGCATGGGAACGAGGTGTCACTTCTCGTACCTCCAGGGGGAGCGATCTGTTTCAGCAGCGACAGGGAAAAGTCAGCTTCATTCATGAGGAAGGAAGCAAACGGGGGAGGAAGGAACGGCTGTTTGTTAACGTTGCCTTAAGCTAAACACTAATGAAGTGCAACACTTAAGATGCTTGCGTGCCTCAGCGACGTCCACCGTGCTCACATGTTGCCTTTCTAATTATGTAGGTTAAAGCATGAGGTATGTGTGAAGAGACTGCTGCCTGCTCATTACCTCTCTGTGAGTCGTAACTCTGCTTTGCCTGTAGCTGCTGGGGTGTCAGGTGTGCTTGCCAACAGCAATAGGAAAGCAGTGGCATCTTGTGCAACATGGATGCAAAAAGCTGGTTCAGGGGAACGCTTTGCCTTTTATTGCGTGAAAGGCTCGATAATGATTTTGGAAACCAGGAGCTGTTTTATTTACCCAGTCCATTTTTATTATTAAGTGGGGGGTCGTTAGAAAGGGGAAAAAATAAAAAAAAAAAAAAAAAAAAAAAAAAAAAAAAACAGACAAAAAATTCCTTCAAAATTGTGCAAAAACAACACAGCAGAAATCAGTGAATGGAGAGGAGAAAAAAAAAGAGACAGAGTAGCAATTCAAACAGTACAGTATTACACATCACTCAAGGAACCTGATTAGAAGTGGATGCTACTATAAACCTCACCAGGCTGCTTGGAGCCCACTCCAGGGCTGTCACTGTTAGGGCTGTACCAGCTCTGTGGATCCCAGAGTAAATAACTCCATCCTACCCTGCCTGTTCTGAAGTCCATTTGAAGGAGATTGAAAGTTGTTTCGGGAAATGCCATTTGGGTCTCTCCCAAATGGAGTTTTACCTTTCCACCTGTGAACTGCTGAAGTCTGCCTCGACAAAAAGATTTCACATTTTGCGACGTCACTCTGAGCTGAGAACACGAAGGACCTTTACAGCCTCAGTCTGTTGTTCAAATGGACTTAAGAACACCAGCCAGCATCTGCAGTGGGCTCAAACATGGGTACCAGAAGTTCCTGCCAGCCCCTGTGCCTCCAATACCCTTTTTCTCGTCACAGATCCCAACATTTCTCTGGGTTCCCATCAGGTCAACCCAGGCCACCTCCCAAAAGGGAAAGGATTCATCTCCCATTGCATCAAGCTACTAAAAAAAAAAAAAAAAAAAAAAAGGAACAAAATATGCATCCACATCCATGTACCACATGTATACCAGAACCCTCCCACCCCATATACATCTCTGTGAACAAGATTCCGTGCTTCAAAAGTTCATAAAAATATACAATTTGCCCAGAATTGCATCTATCCTGCCCATTCCCTGCCTGGAGCTTAGACTTCTCTATTTATATATAAAATACACTAGCCCTGTAAAGTTGCTTTGCTGAGAGCACAGAGGGGATTTCTGCGCTGTGAGGGAGCGCCCCACATGTTGCAGTGCAGCGAGCAGAGGTGCAGGAGCTCTTTACAAAGGCAAGGGCTGCACTGCACAAGCCCTCCCTGCATTGCATTGGGGACATTTTTGGAACATGGTATTCCAGCAGACCGCCTCCTGGCAGCGCTCACAGCATCGCAGCACAAAGGAGCCTTTCACTGCAGCCAGAGGTGACCCATCCCAGCCGAAAGCATCCAGCCAAGGGATTGCTGCAGTATGCAAAGTGGCTTCAAGGTTCCCCTTTGGCATCCACCTTCTGCAGCCCTCCCTCAAGCAGTTTTCCCCAGGGGAGCAGAGCAGCAGAGTTTAGCCATTACTCACTCTCTGAGGGTACCACCTTCTGGGATACCACACTGCAGTTCTTGGATACCAGTGCCAGAATTAATATTTGCTTAACGAGGAAGGGATGCAACGCTTTTAAACTCTGCTTTCAGCCTCCCCCATCCCTGCAGAAATATAATAAATCTTCTGATTTATATCTATGTAGGATCGTTTTGCCTCTGGGTCAAGGTCTGCTCTCCCTGCAGCTGTCACTTCAGACAACTTGAGATATACAAGCTGGGTCGACCTACTTGAGATTTTTGCCTAAGAACAGCACCTGACCCTCAAACATGGTAAAAATATTGCAACTTGGCCAGCTTGCTGCTGCTCCTAAAATCTGGTTGTGATTTGGTCCCAACTCTAGGGGAGGAAATCTGTCACTGGGAATGAGAACACCAGTAATTAAAAATAGAGTCAGTATTTCTATAGCGTATCAAACCCTACAGAACCTCAACGCTTCATACATCTTCTGTAAATGAAATTAAACGGGTCGGTTGCGTATCAAAACATAGTTGGCCTCTCTCATTTCATCTGTAGGAAGACTGCAATTTACACAGCAAAAATACTTTTTGGTTTAAACCAAGGAACAGGTGTGACAAGACAGCGTGCTCTACTCGCACTGGCACGGAGCTCCTGGGCTTTGCATATATAGAATATGGCCGAGCGTGAGCCGTGGGCACCCGCTCGTATCGCGCTCTTGGGTTGGCAAGTAGTGGGATTGGAGGGGAGATTCACCAAAACAATAACTTCAACGACAGGAAAGAGACATTTCTACTGCTCTGTAGCCAGTATTATGGCTACAGCACGTGTGGCACGATGAGTGATAGGGATATATTATAGATATGTTATTCAGAAGCAGAAGGTGCAACCGCAGCTACCTGTAGGAAATGGTGATGAAGGAAAGCAATGCCTGCTGCGAGACGGGTGGAGATGTGTGGTACCTGCAGCTCTGTGGCTGCAGAGCTGGTGGAGGTCCCACTTCCACCCCTCCAACATCCTCACACCTCGAGCAGCAACACAGGGAAAGCTTTCCTGGGAACAACGTGCTAAGGTGGTGGCAATTTGTCACACTGACATGAATTACAGACCGATTACATCACAGCCAGCAGGTCGGCAACTGCTGAGAGACTGTCTTTGAACAAGGGGAAAAATATGTAGAAGTAAGGATTGCTGTTCTCATGGCAAGAACAATGGTGGGGATGCCAAGATACTACTGCCTTGCAAGATAAAGTGGCACATGTTCTACACAAGAATGTGTACAACGTCTGACGGCTTCAGAAATCTGTTCTCGAGCAGATTTCCCAATAAATTAACACAACAAAAATTCTTTCATACAAAACAAAGTCCAAAGGATTTTTTTTTTTTTTAAGTAAAAGCAAAACCTTCAGGGACTATATTACTTATCTCTCTCTACATATATAATCTCCTGAATTTTTTTAAAATAAATTTATTCTCGTCTTAGAAAAATAAATTGAGTAGCCAATTTAGTCAACGGAAAATATCTCACAGACTTAAAAGCATGCCCAGCAAGCATAGCCTTGTAAGACTAAATCAATGTTAAATCAAAGCAATTTGTTACTAAACCAAACTAGTTTGCAATTCACAGTTGATTACTACAAAGTATTTCTTAAATTTTTTGGCCCATAGAAAAATAACATATTGCAACTCAAAGTGCATTTTTAAAATAAACAATCAACTATTTTTATCAAATAAAATATTTACACCATTTGGTTTTTACAGTCAGAAGCGCGCTTCATGCGATGACCATGGGGACATCATCTGAAAATCCAGTTATCATGGGAGCTTCATCATCCTCATCTCCTGGAAAACAAACCCAGAGCTCTTTTACACTGCCCTTGGTTTCAGGATGGATATCAGGAAGAAAATGTTCTCTGAAAGAGTGGTGCTTCACTGCACAGCTGCCCAGGCAGGTGGTGGGGTCACCATCCCTGGAGGCGATGAGGAAATGTGGGGATGTGGCACTGAGGGACATGGGCAGTGGGCAGTGGGATGGGTTGGGGTTGGCCTTGGGGATCTGAGAGGTCCTTTCCAACCTGAATGATTCTATGATTCTGTGAGACACAGCTGAAGTGGCCCCAAAAGTAGTGCATCAGCATGTTGCTCTTACTAGCTGTATTTGTGATGCCCAGGATTTAATGAATTTTCATTAGTAGGGGGTGTTTCAGTGAAGCTGCTAACAACACAATCCTGAGATAGGTCTATACTCTTAGAATCAGATCAAACCCATAAGGAGTTTTACACTAAAGATGTCCCAAAGCATGATCAAGGATTTAGGTCGTCTGCTGATCTGGAGTACCTGAGATCCCAATGCATGACCCCAAAAGTTATGCTAGGCTGATGGTTGGACCTGATGATCCTAAGGCTCTCTCCCAACCTCAGTGACTGTACAACTCTTTGATTCTACATACCTAAGTCGTCCCCTGAGGAGAAGATGGCCGAGCCCAGGCGGGAGCTGTAGTGGCTGTTGGCGAAGGCGGTGAAGCTGCTCTGCAGCCGGCGGTGCCTCGTGTACAGCACCACGAAGCCAGCCCCCAGGGCCACCAGCAGCAGGAACAGGATGGGGACCACAATGGCAGCCACGTCAGTGGATCTGCCTATTTGAGATTCAGAGGAGTCTCCACCTACAGAGCAGGGAGGCAGGGAAGCACTTGTAACTGATATGACATTTCTCCCGCTGCTACTTGTGCAGTGTCCTGAGGGTTCTGGTAGAACAAACCCAACCCAAATGCATCCAACTTGCTAATATTTCCATCCTATGACTTCAGGATGGTTTTTTCTATTCAAACCTGCTAGGATGCAAAGCCACCAAGTGGCCATCTGTATAATACTTCACTATCTCCTGTTGGGTCCATTTTTGAGGCTTTTGTTAGTAGTGTTCACAGAGAAAGAGGGGGCTGTGCCAGTGACTTACCAGCTCCCAGCTCATCATAGAGAAGCGTGGCCGGCTCCCCGCACATATGCCCACCATACAGACACCTGGCCCTGACTGCAAAGGAGTAGTTGTGACCTATCTTCAGGTTGGAAACTTTGAAGAAGTTCTCGGTGGTGTTCCCAAGATAGGCCGTGCGGTTCAGCAGGCTGTCAAACATGAGAACCTCGTAACCCTGAGTGGGGCAAAAACAACAACACAGCTCAGCAGGGACGCTCAGAGAGCAGAGCATCCTGTTGTATTGACAGGGTAATGTCAGGAGCCCTGCAAGCAACTCTGCTCCCAGCATTAATGAAATGCTACCTGTAGGATGGGGGAGAGTGCCCCTTACCCTGCTCTCATTGAAATTGCTTTCCTTTAATGCCAAACTCTTCCAAAAGAGCAGAATGTGGTCATTTTCTGCTATAATTTTTAAGGCATCCGGTGCAGAGAGTGGAACTGCAAATGAGAGAAAACAGAAGGAAGGTTAGGTTTGGTTAGCAGTGCTACTCGTGGGGCAAGGGTGCACTTTCAAAAGGGGTGGGGGGCTTTATTTGTCAGCACAGTGCAGGCTGTGCTGGAGGGGAGGGTATGGCTGATAGGATCTGCTGGTGGGTTTTACAGTAGGATGGCATTTCAATACTTCTTCTTTTACCTGTGTTAATCATCATGCTGGATTCTTTGCTCATGTTTCCCAGTTGAACAATCACGTGGTATTTGCCTCCTGGTTCGAGTTTCTTAATGGTGTATTCCACCGTGCTGTTCCGTGTTTTCACTTTGTAGATTTTATCTGTTTTTCTTACTAAATCTTTAACTGCAACAGCGTACAACTGAAGGGGAGAAAAGGCAGGCACAGTGAATGACAGATCTCACTTTCCTGCAGACTCACTAGCAATCTCATGCAATGTCAGGACATCAGACTGGGGGGTAAAAATAACATTAAGCCATGCCTGTGCTCTACAGAAGGCTGGCAGATAGACAGACTTTGAGCCCCTTGCTGGACAAGCTGGAACCCTGCCTGAGATGGCTATTTACAGATAGACAAAATGCAGTTGCTGGGACCTGTGTCCCAGATGAGGGGCTTGATCTCTTCTCCCTGGTAACTAGGATAGTACAAAAGGTAAAGGGCTTCATTTGCACCAGGGGAGGTTCAGGTTGGATGTTAGGAAAAGCTTCTTCTCCAAAAGGATGGTGATGCAGTGGCACAGCTGCCCAAGGAGGTGGTTGGAGTCACTGTCCCTGGAGGTGTTCCTGAACAGCAGCGATGTGGCACCTGGGGACATGGGCACGGTGGGCATGGGTTGGGACTTGGTTTGGTGATCTGAGAGGTCTTTTCCAACCTTAATGATTCTATGATAAGGGCAGAAGGAAAACTGCAGATCGTATTTATCAATGAGCAGAGATGCAATGCAAGCCTGTGCCTTCTCAGAGTTTCCACCATCATTAAACCAGATTTAAGCCTTTGCTGTGGACCAGCTTAGGAGGGGTAAGTCGATGGTGGGGCAGGGATCTGTCTGTGAATCGGGGCTTTGTGTGCAAAGGAAGAGGAGAAGGCTCTGAGGTCCTACCATGTCCTGGTCAGGTGAATCGTAGGGAGATTCCCACTTGATGACAGCGAAGGTCTTGCCTGTGAGCACTGCATGGAGGTGCCTCGGGGGAAGCCGGTTGTCGGGGATCATCTTCACCACGACGTAATCAGATGGTGGCCCTTGGTAGGGAGACATCACACGGACCTTGAAGGGACGACCCAGCAGTTAGTGCGGTGCCTTCAGGCTTTGGTGCCAAACCCGAGCCCAAATTGTGTGTGGGAGGGGATCAGAAAAGCAGCCTACCAAGAACAGGTACTGCTCGTCCCGCTGCACGATGACGGTGGCATTGTGGAAGGTTGTGGTGGTGTTGTGAGGGCTCTGGTAGAGCTCCAGGAAGGATGTGGCGTAGAAGATGCCATAGACCTGCAGAGGAGAGGACAAGAGGGATGGTACAAAGCTTGTCACGGCACAGAGCTCCCACCCAAACCATGGTGAGCTGCTGCTCGTTAGGGATTTGTTCCTCCTGGGCTCAAGTTTAGCTCTGGTCTGCCAACCAGGTTGCCCAGCAGCACTCTCTTTTGATTAAGGTCCTCATCTGAGGAACCTGCTCCCACCTCTGACAACACATCCATCAGTTAGAAGGCCATGAGAGCATCATGACGTTATCTGTGTTTCAGCCACTTCTCTATGTAACAGCAGCTCAACCAACAAACAACAAAAAGCCTTTCTGTGCCGGTATGGTAGTGGCAGCAAGCACTTTTCCTTACATTTTTTTACCAGAAATTTTTCAGGGTTTTTGAACTCAGCCCCAACAAACAAAATGTTCTAAAATATCTTTTTTTTTTCCTAAGCTCTGAGTCAGACCCCATCCCAGTGAGTGAGAAAGGAGAGCCTCATGGCCTTACAACATCCCTCGGTCCGGTCCAGGTGCACTCCACTGCTGTCTGGTTGATGGCCCTGGCCTTGAGACTTGGTGGGATGGGTCTCGTCCCGCTGGTCACAACGTGCACAAAAGACAGAGGGCTGTCACCCAGCTCTGTCTTAGCCCAAGCAGAGATTTCATACGGGGTTTGAGCTGTCAGGTTGGCCACTGAGCAAGGAGAGAGATTCACACTGTTAGGTGAGGCACAGTGCTATATGGTAGAAGCATCATGAAATGGTCAGCAGCACTAAATGGTCTCAGACAGGATTGTCTCTCTCTTGCTATGTGTTGTCCTTCATTCTGATTAGTTTCTTTTGCACAGAATCACCTGGGTATCTAAGCTAGCCTTGCTTGCCCATGTTGGGATGCTTTCCCAAATCTTGACTGTGCATGCTAGTTATTCCTCCAAACCCCAAATAAAGCTGATTAACAGGGACACACACTGTAGACGAGCCCAATAAACCATTGACTTTTTTGCAGAATCAATAAACAAAATCCCTGTGATGAGAAAAGGCCAGTGCAGCTCTAGGGAATAAATCCCAAATCTGCTTGAAAACTGCTAAGAAGAGAGACCAGAGTTTTACCAGTCTGTCCTCCCAGGATTTTCTCTTAACATACTCAGCTGAGCTGCAGTGACAAAAAGGAAAACCTTGTAGCTGTCAGTAAAACCCTCCATTTGGGGGGTGACCAAAGCAAAACTTTACATCTAAACAACTTACCTTTTTGGACTGACTTTTCTCCTTCTATGGTCAGAGTTCTTCTTTCCTGCCTGTGTGCATCAAATGTCCAGTAGATGTTGACAACGTAACCGCTGACCTGTCAAGCAGCGATGGCACACGATATGAACTGATGTAAGTTCAGCTATTTTGGATGCAGTGAAAGAGTCATCACTTATGTCTTTAAGTCATATTTTCCATAGTAATTAAGAGAGCTGGGACAGCTGATGAGTAGCAAGTAATAAACGGGAATGGAATAATTAGTTTCAAAATATGATTGCAGTACTAAACTGGGTGATAGCTTATCCCATCCAGTATTTACCACTTATCCAACTTTTCTGTTACTGATGTTTCAGAAGTAAAGAGTAGAATTTTACCTTGATATTAGTATTCATTTTTAGACTGAAGCTTATGGAGTCCTCAGTGTAGCCCTCAATGCGTATGACAGGTGGAGGAATGACTGGAAGGAAAAGGAGAAATGGTTGTTATTGCAATCCCAAGAAACTTCATAGCAAGTTCTGATGGCTCTTCTACCTCTGCTTTCCAACTATCTCCAATGCAGGTACTCCCACATTTCACACAAGCAAGCATTCTGCATTTTTAGTAGCATGATGTTTTCTTTCCTTTCTTTGTCAACACCGTGAGCGTGCACTTTTATCTAACAAACTAGAAAGCAGACAATTTTGACATCAGAATATAGACTAGGAAAAAGTCTTGTCAGGAATACAAATGACTTCAAAAGGCTTATCAAACAGCACTTCAGAGGGAAACAATTTATCGTGTTGTTTGGGTTTACCTACTGTCAACTGCAACGCTGCAACAGTTTCTGGGAGCCTCAGTAGTCTTTCAGTGGTCTAATCTACATGAAATGCAGCAACCATCACAACCACAAAGCAAGAAGATAATTAGCAAGCATTCTCTCAATGAGTGATGCTGGAAGAGCTGGTGGAGGTGCATCCTGCCTAGCCCAGTGTAGGACCTACATGAGTCAATGGCAATCCACCTTTGAGCAATGCACAGCAACATTTACTGGAATAACAGCACTCACCTTTGCCTTTTATGGTGGTTATGGATTTAGAGATGCTCCAATTTCCCACTCCTCGACTGGTCACTGCAGCAACCTTTCAGATGAGACGGTCAGTTAATGTGAATGAATGTCACCAGCCATACATGATGCAAACAGAGCGAGGTGAGAGCAAGGTTACGGACACGGAGGAGCTCAGGGAAAAGGACTTCGAAGCAAACAATAGCTAAATTACTTGGCAATAAAATGCTTATTACACAGATAAAGCAGTCTACTTTAAGTACTTTAAAGAATCTAAATGGAGGAAGGGGATCTGCAGATAACTGCTCTCTTATAAGATCCTGTAACCATGGAACGGAATGGATCAGCCCCAGCGTAGGTAAGAATCATGCGTGCATCCACAGGTACTCATGCTCATCCTGCACGTGGACACTGGCAGCATACATTCCTCAGGGCTGGCATGCTTTCACTTCTTATCTATTCTATCTGCAATCACCCAACCTCTCCTACGTGTGTGCTTTCTCCACACCTACCTGCTGCTCTTTGCAGTCATTCAGCCAGGAGCAAATTTATCTCTGCCCCAGATCTGGAGCAGTTGCAGTGACACTGGAATGGGCAATTGGTAGCATAGGTTTCATAACACAGCCAGGCCACTTGGGTGGAAGAACGAATCAAGGGGCACAACTCTGGTCTTAAATCTATACACACTGTCAGTGCAAATGCCAGCACCCCACTGAGGGCTGATATTAAAAGGCTGGATTTTAACATCATACTTTTTCAGCAAATTAGTTGGCTGCACAAGACTAGAACTGCCTAGCAAACAGTAAGAGGTCATGCAGAGCTCTCCTATAGACTGAGCTCTGAAGATACTCACCCGAACTGTGTACAGTGTGTTGACCTGTAAGTTCTTGATCTCGGTGTAGTTCTTGGTGGTTCTAAGGGATGACCATTCCTTGGAACCACTGCTGCTGTATTCCACCTAGAAGCACCAAAACTGGGGATGAGGACTCCAGTGTCAACAATTCTGCAGATCTTTCTATGCCAAAATGTCAGCAAAAAGAATTAATCAAACTTAGAAAAGAAGCCAGAAAGAAAATTATGGTTTTGAGGATTGTGTTGCTGTCTACAGCCCCACAGCGTTGCTCTCAGCAGATCTGCTCCACTAAATACCCTGTTCATGTCCCTCCAGCCCCCTGCAGATGGCTGTGCTCAGAGCAGCAGCTGGACTCACAATGAATTCCCGTATGAGGCCATGGGCGTTCACAGGGGCACTCCAGCTGCACACCACCACCCCCTCAGCTTCTTTTTTGAGGGCCAACTGGAGGTTAAAGGGAGCATCCGGCACTGGGGAGAGAAGCACAGGCATTAGGTTTGGTCACAGCTGTCACCTGAGGAGCAGAAATAGGAGGGCAGGGTCTGCCAACAAAGCAGAGCTTAGACATTGTCTTCTGGTGTGCCCCCAAGCCCTGCTCAACCCTCACTCAGCCAATGAACCCTTCTAGTGATAGCAGTGATGCTAGGTGTGCTGGTTCATTGCTTTTTTTGAACCCCCTCCTTAACCCAAGCTCCAGCTGAAACCACACAGCTCCGCTTACGTCCTTCGGGCACCCGCAGGGTGATGAAGTCGTTGGTATTGTAGACTCTGCTGAGACACTGCACCTGCACCTTCACCTGGTAGGTGCAGTCAGGCTTCAGAACCTTCAACACGCTGCTGGTTTTGTTGCTGTGGGTTTCCAGAACCTTCCAGATGCTTTCTCCAACCATCCTGCACGAGATTCAAACCCCTTTGGTCAGGGATATACTTAGTGACAGAGGGGGACATGTAATCTCTTTGTATTTTAAGAGCTTGCTGCTTAGTTTTCTGAGCAGCAAAGCCCACCACCAGCTTGGGAAGGTGTTTCAAAGCCTGAACTAAGTGTAGCTCGGTGCCTCACTGGCACCATCACTATCCTCTGAGGTTTGCTCTCACTGCTGTGTTCTAATTTCCTGACTTTGTTCTCATTGTTAGCAGTCCCACAAAGACAAGACCCAAGCAGAAACAGAACACCCAATATGCCCACATTTCTGTAGAGTAAACAATCTGAAGGAAACAAAGAGCTTTTCACAAAGGTCCCCTAGCTGCAGCTATTTTGGGGCTGCTTTGCAATGAAGCATTAGAAGATTTTCCAACTAGAAATAGATTGCAAAGCTCTGCCTTTTGAAATCTGATTCAGCACGGGGCCTTGCTGTAAACACATGTGCTGATCACAGTGAGGCAGTGGGGTACCTGTAATACACGTTGTAGACACAGGAGGTCGAGGACATCTTCTTTGGCCGAGCCCATGTCAGGGTGATGGCACCAGAGAAGTCAGCCGTCCACTGCAGGTTCTGTACCTTGTACACAATGGTGTCATCTACAACAGAGAGAGCAGGAGGGAATTCAGCCTTTTGCCCAGAACAGGAGTTCAGTTCCACTGCCAATCCATGGAGGGAGCATTGGCACTGTGCAGATGAGGGGTGTAATGTAAGTGGGGTGGGCAATGAAGAGTAGGAACGTAACCCTGATGCTCCTGCTTCTCCCCGGAACATTTTGTGGTTGCCTTTGTGCTGCTATTACCCAAAGAAATACAAATCATGGCTGCTGAGAAAATACTCTTTATCAACATTTCAGAAGTGTATTGATGCAGGCTAAGTCACTCCCCTGCTTGTGTGATGAATCTGGGCTATGACAGATTCCCCACCAGGCCCGTCTTTGCATGGTGTCACATCTTGCATTCCAAAGCTGAGGCTGCAAAGCAGGGCAGAGCCCTGGTGCAGATTTCCAGGGGAAAACAGATGGTTTTCCTGGGGTGTTCATTCCCCACAAATCTCAGCAGTGCCTTCCCCCAACCTCTCCCAATCCACATTTAATTAAAGCACTAAAACCTGGCTGATGCTCAAGCCCTGAGCAGGTCAGTAGGACCATGGTGAACCTTGTGGCTGCTCACAGGCAGCAACTGATCATGGTCATCTGCCCAGGGGTGACGGTGGAGAGGTGCAAGCTGGGTCACCACATAAAGGAGCACAGGGCTGGGGACAGTCCCTTCACCCATGGGCCATGTGAAATGGACAGCCGTGCTCCCTTTCATCCTAAAGCTGGTTTCTGTGTTTGAAGTTTGTTGGAGCACAAAATCTCAGTGCAGAAGCTGGCTGGCAAGTTTGTCCCAGCTGGTTAAGAATGGGCAAAGAAGCAATCTGGACATGATGCTACATCCAGGGTCTGTGACTTAAAAGCTGTGCATGCAGGAGAGCTCACGTGCATGAAAATACAGAGCAGGGAGGTGGGTCAGGCTGCAGCTCACCTGTGCAGTTCCTCTCATCGCTGCCATCGGAGCAGTCCAGGTACCCATCGCAGCGTTCAGTCACCAGCAGGCAGGCCTCCCCATCCTCACAGCGGAAGCCCTGGGGGCACGACAGCGAGCTGTGCGTTGCTGCAAGCAGAAAAGTTGCAGGGCTCAGTGCAGAGAAGGTCCCTGCAGGAATGGGGCTAGGTGCTGGCATAAAAGCAGGAATGATGCATGGATGGAGCACAGAGTGCCATTAACAGCCCTGTCTTCACTTTGCTGCGTATTCTGGCATGATCTCACCCACCATCAGAAGGACCCAGCAGGGAAATGGTGGAGTCACCATCCCTGAAGGTATTTAAGAGATGTGTGGACATGGTGCTTAGGGACGTGGTTCACTGATGGACTTGTAGTGTCACATCATGGTTGGATATGGAATGCTGGGTCGTGGTTGGACTTGTAGTGCTACATCATGGTTGGGCTTGATGATCCCATGGGTATTTTCCAATCTAATGACTATAATTCTATAAAACTAATAGCTGGACTTCTAATGGAAAAAAAAAAACCAAAAAAAAAACATTGGCATGTGGGGCTTTTTGCCCATTTTTACTGCCAGGATTCCACCAGCATTAACCCCTGCATCCCCTCACAGAGCATCCCAAGAGATGGAACCAGCCAAGATGCTCTCAGCCCCACACTCACGGCAGTTCCTCTCGTCGGTGCCATCCTGGCAGTCCCGCCGGCCGTCACAACGCTTCCAGTTGGGGATGCATTTGTGCAGCTGCTGGCATTCGAATTCGGCCCTGCTGCAGCGGCCGCGTGGCGCTGGGGGGCTGGAGCTCACATTGGGGTCTGCGGGTGGGAGAAGCGAGAAGAGAACCCAGCAGCACCGACAGCTGTCCCAACTTCACTAGATGGCATTGGTCCCGGTTCCACTAGATGGCAATGTCCTCCCATCTAGCAGCTAGCTGGGCTGCCTGAACCATCCTCACTGCTGACTGCAGGGGGCTGGGAAAGCAACTGCTCTGCAGCTTTTAGCGCGGGTGTGAGCTGAAAAGCCACCCCTGCTCCCTCCCCTTTATGCCCCCAGACGTGATAGAGGAGAAGTGTGGGGTGAGGATGCTTACGGGAGGTGGGACAGGCGTCCTCGTCCGAGCCGTCGGCGCAGTCGCGGTAGCCATCGCACACCCAGCTGTTGGTGATGCAGGCGCCGCTGCCGCATCGAAAATGGTTGGGGAGGCAGGTGGGAGGGATGGCCGTGGTGATGGGAAGGACTGGGGAGCCTGAAAGACACCGGATGGGTGTCAGAGCCCCACCAACAGAAGGGAGCGGGGAAGGCACGGCAAGACACGTGGTGTTATCTGTATCTGGATCCCAACTGGGATTTTCAGACAGGCAGAAGGTAAAGATGTGTGAGAGCATGCACACAGCCCATTCCTGGGGGATTTTTAGAGCCCCAGAGCTGGTGCAGGATGTTGGGATGCAGCCTTGGTGCAGCATCAGGGACCCTCACCCTCGCACTCCTTCTCATCCGACCAGTCCCCGCAGTCGTTCTCTCCATCACACTTCCACTGGTTGGGGATGCAGTGCCCGTTCCCACACTGGAACTGGTAGTAGCGGGAGCAGTTGGGGGCATCCGTTGGGTTTTCTGACCAGGAGAGAAGAGTTCTCTGAGCTCCAGTGCTATTTCAACAGCCTCTGACACAGCCAAGGTACAAGAACAGGGCATCCCCCCCAGAGCCCCCCCAGCATTTTGGGCTAGATCCTTTCTCTTCCTCTCCAACTCCCCCACTTCTCACATCTATCACTGCTCTGTTGGCAACGTTACAATGTATGTGCACTGGGTGCAGCCAAACAGCACCAACAGTCACAGAACCAGCAGCAGAATTCACACAGAGCACAGCAGAAGCAGAGAAGCAAGCCCTGCAGCTCTCCAATGAAGGCACAGCTGCTTTGCCTGGCTGTGCACAGCTCCTACTGCTGCCCAGGGAACACTGATAAATATTGAACTTGGCTGTGAGCTGCCTGTCTGCTTTGGGCTGGGAATCTGGAGGCAATATGGTCCCACCAGACTCACTCAACCACAACATGTGCCCGCAGGTCAGATGTGCAGCATGCTGCAGCTAATCTACCTGCAGAAAGAGAATGATGCTGATCCCCACGCAAGACTTTGCAAAGTGAAAACAAAACAGTGCACACACACACACACATGTACACATGCATACATAGATGCATGGGTAGGTACAAAGAACATGGAGCCTGTTCCCTGTGCTCCTGGTATCCAAAGGAGTAAGAAGCCATAATGACAAGGACCTTGAAGGTTTGCTCACCACAGCTTGCTTCATCTGAGTAATCACCGCAGTCATCCATGCCATCACACTTCCACACCAGGCTGATGCACACCCCATTTGCACACTGGAAGCTAAACTGGTCACAGGTGCGGTGGAATTCAGGCTCCTGGGCTGCAAGGGAGGAAAGTAAAGGTCAATGTGGGGTTGGAGGGGAGCTGTCATGGACTTTTGAAAGCACAGCAGGACGACTGTTTAGGAGACACGGCAGCTTTGTGGTACCCTCCCCATACCTGTGGTCTCCACTCCCCAGCCCTCCCTGAACAAAGTGCCTTGAGATGCACAACACCACGCTCACCGCATCCCGCGTAGTTGGCATCTTCATCGGAGCCATCCTCACACTGGATGTCACCATCACACACCATGGAGTGGGACAAGCACTGCTGCCGGTTCTTGCACACGAAGTCCATGTAACGGGTGCACAGGGGAATTTCTGGGGAAAGTTCAGGAGGAGTGGATGGCACCATGGCAGGCACTGCCTGCAAAAAGGCCACTGTCATTTGCACAGACATGTGTGAAGGTCCAGATTTCCAGATCTAATGGACTGCGAACTGCCCTGCACAGCCTGTCCTCACTCAACAACACGTCACAGCTTGGCAGGGGCACCGGGAGGATTCGATCCTCCTTAAGCAGCACCTCTTATCTGCCTTTTGCAGATGCTCAGGGAGCAGCCCATCTCCTCAGCACCAACCAGTTACCCCACCATGGGCACACCTCTCAGCAGCCCCCAGCACTCACCGCAGTCCTGCTCATCTGAGGCGTCGGCGCAGTCGGTGATGCCGTTGCAGTGTTTGCTGGTTGAGATGCAGGTGCCATTGGGGCACTGGAAGCCATTGCACTTTTTTTCTGAAATGAGGTACATTTTGCCAGGTTTCTTTTCAGTACCAAAAGCACAGCCCCTATCCCCTTTCCCCTGACCCCTATAGGAAGGCATGGGAGTTGGCTGCAGCTCTTGTGGTTTGCAGGCACGTACCACAGATGGTGGGGTCCTCATCGGAGCCATCCTGGCAGTCAGCATCGCCGTCACAAGCCCAGCGCTGTGGGATGCAGTGCCCATTGAGGCACTGGAAGCTGGAGGCCTCACAGGTGCGGAACACTGATGGGAGCAGAGCAAGGAGGGGTCCATTTCTCTCTGTGCCATATTTGCTCACAAACCCGCTGCGCCCTCCAGATTGGGGAGGCTCTTTGAGCACAACCCTTGGTGTGCGCCAGCACACGTGGCTGTGGTCATCTTAGGATGGCAAGAAGTGGCACAGACAGCAAGCGAACCTTGGTGGGGTGTAGGGTCCCTGTAGGGGGACCACAGGGTAGGGGAATCACTGGTCAGAAGCTTTGGAGATGGTCTGGAATTAGGGCAGGCAAAAGTTATTTGTGTGGCCAATGCCAATTAGAAAACTTTGGAATTTCAAAGGGATCAGGGCCTCCCTCGGGCTTCTTTCACCCAAGGATCTGCTGCAGGGTGTGCTGGTTGAAGCCCAGCATGTGTTGTTGCTTTAGAGACAAATATCACTCTCCAGCCAAGCGAGCACTCAGTGTTATCAACAAGAAAAGCAACCTGCAGCTTAATTAAATGGCATGCTCGTGAATTTCACATTGGTTTGTGACACGTGCAGATATTTCAAAATGCCTGAGTTTCATGGCAGTAATATTCTATTAGGTATTCAGTGTGAAATGTAATTATTTCAGATAAGAGCAATAAATACAGCCAGTAGAGTCAGATGAAATGTTTCTCAAATAACTGTGATCCTCTTAGATAATTTCAACTTCAGGCTCTACAAACCCGAGATGCTTTTTGAAGTAGGTTCTGTTCCAGGAGAAATTCTCTCTGGAGAAACTCACACGAGAGATAAGTGATACCAATATAAATTAAACCTCCTTAGACAGCAACGTGCACAGAGTGCCAACGACCACAGCCCCCCGAGCATTGCTATGCACCGCGTGTGCTGGAGGCACATCTAACCCTGTGGATAGAGGATGCAGGAGCTCAGCACAGCAGATGTGATCCCCCAGGGGCTCAGCACCCAAAGGCCAGCTTCTATCCTGCACATTGCTCTAAAAACATGGCCACGTGCCTTTCACTGATGGCCTTAAAAATCCACTTGGAGTTGGCACTTGCTTTACATTCCCAAACCCATTGAGAACAGCAAGGCTGCTACGAAGAGGAACCACTTCCCAAGCTGAACCTGCCTCTCCTTTGCAGCTTCTCCACCATTACTGAGTCTGAAGGAAATGTCAGTTTTCTGCAACGTGCTTCACGGCAAGAAAATGGTCAGAGTTCAGGCTCTGAAATGAGATCAGTGCACACTGCCCTGTCTGTTGCCTGCCTGCAACAAAGGAGCCCATTCTGAACACAAGGATTCTTTGGCTGCCTGGCAGCCAAGTCCCACTTCCCTATTCAGCACAGCCTCAAAGGCACAGCCGGCACTGTGCCATGATGCACCTCGGGCTGCTGGGGATGTGCTGGGAGCAGCCAGTGCTGCAAAACTGGTGCAAAACTGCTCTTGCAAAGCCAACCAAACGCAACTCCTCCAGTGCAACACCTCCAATGCAACAACTTGAACACTACTGGGAGAGGCTGTGAGCCCATAAAGAGGGATGGCGATATGTTATTGATCACCACAAAGTGCTTACTGGTGCAGTTGGCTTCATCAGACCAGTCCCTGCAGTCATTGTCATCATCGCACCTCCAGGAGAGTCGAATGCACATCCCTGAGCTGCAGCTGAACTCGTCTTTTCTGCACTGGTGAGCATCTGCAAAGAAGCATAGACAGTTGTCAGATGAGTTTGAGGCCCAGGGAAAAGAGAAGGAAAATTTCACACGGGCTACTGAAAAGGGAGAGGAGGCTGATAGTTCAGAAGCAACACTGAGCAGCCCACGCTGCCATGTGCCTGCTGGGTGGCTGCCCAAGAAGAGCCTTTAATCTCAACCAAATATTTGGCTTTGGGTCAGGGGAAGGCCCAAGGAGCAGGGAAAGATGATAACAGCACAGAACCTCCCTGCCAGACTGCAGCGATGGGGGAAATCACTGCACATCTGTCATCTCCTGCAGTGATAGGAGGAGGCAGCTGTTGGCTGGGAGTAACGAGGGGGATCTGGAGCAGCACTGCACTGCCCAACCTCTCAGCAGTGGCACCAGGCTTTGGTCCCTTGCATGAGGACAGGGAAGGAGAAGGCATGCAGCAGAGCAGCTCACCACAGTGACTCTCATCGCTGTTATCACCGCAGTCGTCCTCCAGGTCACACTTGTAGGACAGGGGGATGCAGGTCCCCGATTCCCGGCAGCGGAACTGGGTTTCGGCATCACACACAGTGGTGGCTGATGGGGGAGAGGAGGAGGTCAAGGCGGTGCTGGAAGGATGGATTGTGCTGATCCATCATGAGTGAAGCAGAGAGGGGAGCTGAGAGGTGCTCAACACAGCTTGCAGGGTTATTAGCGTAGGTGCATGTCAGAGTTGGGGAGCAGGACTAAGGGCATCCCACCTCACTGCTGCTTGCAGACTGGGAGCAGTGTGTCCCCAGCAGAGGATAGAGGGGGAAACTCTGCAGGCTACAGCTCACCCAGCCAACTTGAGATTCAGTTCCTAGGGCAGGAACTGCACTCTGAACACCTCTTGCTCCCCCTGACTACTACAAAGGGAGCGCGGGACATCAGCTCAGATGCAGTGCCGATGCAGCAGACATCTAAACTGGGATGGGCAAATGCCACCATGGGACACTCACGGCAGTTCTTCTCATCGCTCATGTCCCCGCAGTCATTGTTGTTGTCACACTGCCAAATGCTGTTGATGCAGTTCCCGTTGAAGCATCTGTACTGGTTGGGCAGACACGTGTTTTCTGGTGCAGAGGAGAAAACAAAAAGAAGCTGGGGTGAGGCATGGCGCCCTGTTCCTGGGTATCAGACACACTCCTTGTTCCAAGGGCAGCTGGGAAGGTCGTCAATGGAAGAAGCTGCCACCTCTAATAACAACAGCAGGGACCAAGCCTGGTGTTACCTTCCTTCACGCAGGTGTTGTTCTTCATGCTGTAGCCATGAGGACAGTCACACTTCACCTCCCCTGAGGGCAGCACGGTGCTGGAAACGCCCTCAGGGCACTTGCAGCTCCGGCCATTGTTGGACTTGGGCAAACAGAGCAAGCTGCAGGGGTGGGCAATGCAGCCGTTCCGTCCTGGCACCGGGGAGGAAGGGGACACCATCAACAGGGGCTGTAGGCAAGCAGGAAGCCCCATCCCAACCCCATCCCAGTTTGAGGTTGCAGCCCCATGTTTCTGCAGGCTAGGGAAGTGCTCTGACAATCATAGTGATGCAGCTCAGAGACCCCATACAGCACCTGGCATGGAAAGCCATGGTTTGTGTCCTGAGCTACGGGGTGGGTGCCTGGAACAATATCCCCAGCAAAGACAATCTTGTGCTCTTAGCTACCTGTCGTCTTTCCTCTGTAGAAGATTTTCATGTCCATGATCCCGTTTAATTGGCCGACCAACGTCTCCATCCTTGAGCCACTGGTTTTGGACGCCCGGAAGATGCTCAGCTGTGACCAGTCATTCCAGTAGATCTCGTTCTGAAGGGTACACACTGCTAAGTACTAAAGCACCTGAGCACCCACAGCCAAAGGGCAGCAGAGTGCAAATCCCTCCCAGCCCATGGTGAGGATGATGAGGAAGACATGGACTAGGATTTGAGCAGGAGTGGAAGCAGGAGTTGCTAGGTGCAGGAATTTTGGGGAACACGTCCAGAGCAGAAATAGAGTGAGTAATGTGCTAGCTCCTTCCCACCAAACCTACCCAGTGTGCTAAGTGCTCCCACCATGCAATGGAAATGTGGACAAAGTGGAGATGGCTGGCTGCAGCAATACCTTAAATACAGCGATGGCATAGGGGTGTGGGAGGCTGTCCAAAATGACAGATCTCTGCAAACCATTGAAATCCACCCTCTCAATCCTATCCATGTAAGCTTCAGTCCAGTAGATCCAGCGGTCATCCACTGAGATGCCATTGGGCCACCGCACACCTTCTGAGACGACGCAGGCAGCCGAGGAGCCATCCATGTCACTTCTGTAAATGCCAGGCCTGGAGTCTCCCCAGTCCGTCCAGAACATCAGCCTGCAACAGGCAAAGAGCTTAGCTGCAACAGGAACAGCACAGCTTGTCACAGGGGAGCAGGTTATCAAGCAGAGACGTGAACGCTTTGCATTCCCTGTCTCTTGAAAGATGTGCCTTTGGGGAAAGGAGCTCTTTGCAATTCAAATGAGAGCAGCGCTGGATCTGCGAGCAGAAGGCAGGCTTACAGAGCTGCAGTCTGTGGGGCACGAGTGCAGCTGGAGGTTACCTAGCCATGAGCTGCAGAAGTGGATGTTGAGGAGGTGGTGTTGTCATGCTCTGCTGGCCATGTGCACATAGCCAGAGGCAGCTCAAGTCTACCAGTGTGACATCAGCGTCACGGCATTGGGGTCCTCATTGCTCCCTCCTAAAGCTGAAACTGCTGCCCAGAGAATCTGTGGATGCCCCATCCCTGGAAGTACATGAGGCTACAGATGGGGCCCTAGGCAGCCTGATCTGCTGGGGGCAAGCGGCCAATGGCAGGGGGTTGGAACTAGATGATCTTTAAGGTCCCTTCCAACTCAAGCCATTCCATGAATCTGCGATAAGCCTTCCATGCAGCATCTCCCCCTGGTTCCTCTTGTGTGGCTGTGGCATTGAAGGGGAGGGCTTGATCTGCATGGTAAAAGGGATCTGACTGCAGGTGGGAGATCCTTGCTTACCCTTCTCGGGGCACCAGCGCAAGGGCCCTGGGTCGCTCAAGGATGGAGGAGTTGAGGACAGTGAGACGCAGGTCTCCATCCGGATTGGCAACCTGGAGTCGTAACAAAAGAAGAGGATTGTGCTGGTTGCAGGCTGCATGGAGGGAAACTGCATGAAAACTGTGGCAGTAAATCATATTATCCCAATCAAACAGGTGCCATGGGCACAAGGAGCTGCACTGCGGGGCAGTGGATAACAGCTGTGTCAGGGGAGGTTTAGGTTGGTTATTAGGAAGAGTTTCTCCATGGAAAGGGTGGCTGGACAATGGAACAAGCTGCCAGGGCAGTGTTGGAGGTATTTAAGAGATGTCCTGATGTGGCACTAAGGGACATGGGTTAGTGATGGGGCTCAGTAGGGCAGGCTGATGGCTAGACTTAGTGATCCTGAAGATTTTTTACAACAGAAATGATTCTGAGATGCTTTGTGAACCCAGTGCAGTGTGGGGAGCAGGTTGGCAGCCAGCAGTGGGACCCCAAAGGCACACTGGGGCAGTCCCCCCTGCAGCACAGGTGGTGTGACTGTACCTCAATTTTGGGAATTCCAGCATTGACCCAGTACAGCAACTGGCTGAGTGGTTCGAAGGCCAAAGCTTCCACTGTTTCCAACCCAGTGCTTATGATTATTTCTTGCCCAGAGCTGCCATTGAGACAAAGACGCTAGAGGAAAAAAAAGGAGGAAAAAAAGGACTAAAAAAGCAGAACCTTCCCAGCCTTGAGGTTAGCACAGCCATGTGTGTATATCCTTTTTCTACTTCCCTAGGAAAGAAAATGGGAAACAGAATAATTCTGAAGATATCCACATCAGTGTATGCCACAGGAAGCAAAAGCATCTCGATTTGTCAGGTTTCAACCAAAGATCCCAAAATTTCTGGATCAAACCCTCCAGAATCACACATTTTGTGGGAAGTAATTCAGCTGTGGAGCCCAATGCCCCAAGCTCAGCACTATTTGAGATCAATGCACTACACCAGCACACTGATCATTAAGCTCCCCTCCAACCCAAGCCGTTCTACGATCGATTCTACGACAGCAGACAGATGAGAAACGCCCAAAACAAGATGCTGACTCTCAGGCTGCCACTTCTGCCCCAGTGAATCCCTGCTCACCTGGATGATGTCCAGTGTGACATCGGCCCAGTAGAGGCAGTTGTGCTCATAGTCAAAGTCGAGCGCGACCGCCCCGTGCAGCCCGGCCAGCGGCAGCTCCTGGCTGAGCCCAGAGGCGAGGTCGTAGCGGTGGATGGAGTAGCGGGTGGCATACAGGATGAATTCGTTCTCCTCTGCGGGACAGAGTTGGGGTTTTTTTAGTGATTCTGTGTTTTTTGGGGTGCTCGTGGGGTCAAGAGGGAATTGGAGATTTTTTTCATTGCAGTGAGCAGGTTTTCCAGCAGAGCAGTGGAAGGGAGGCAAAGGCCCTTTGTCTCAATGGGATTAGGTTCATTAGAATACGCTAATAGCCTTACGGCTCCCCTTATTCCCTCGCACCAACACTGCAGCTATTGTTTATCTCAGAGGGCTGAAGGAGGAGGTAGGGATGGCAGAAAGCACTGTGACCGGTACCTTGACACATTAGCATGCTGCCAACTAGAAACAAAACACTCATCTCCCAGTTCCTCTGAGTTCTCATAAAAAAAACATAAATGTGCTGCAAACCTGGGAGTCCTGGGAGACACTTTCCAATGGGAAATACCCCAGAGGGGTTGTGATCTCAGTTTGTGCAGAACCAAACCGGCCTGGGACTGAGCTCCCAGGCATTGCGTGCTGCAGGTAAAGTCCATTAATGCTATTAACAAGTGGGGCTGATGTCAGAGAGCAGCTTTGGCTACACACCCCAAATGGGATTATATGGAGCTAAGAAACAGACACCGCACATGAAAGTGTTCCCATGGTGTGAGGCACCATGGAACTGAGGAAGCAAGGGTTTGTTTTTCGGGCTCTTTGCAACTCTCCAAATAGCTCAGTGGGCATGGCAGGGTGAGGAGCATGTTGGTGCTGAGCAGGGACGAAGGCTGAACCTACACCAGCCTGCATCAAAACAGCCCTAGGCTCGAGCAGCAGCATGACAGCAGATTAAATTACAGCAGCCCAGAGCAGAATGCAAATAGCTGGCAGCGTGCAGGCACAGGAGCAAGTCAGTGCCTTGGATGTTTGAGAGTAAGTAGGCATGGAGGTGATGTCTCACTGGGTACGGGTACGAGGACAAAAGGGCAGCCTTTGGCGTGGCCTCTGTAGGCATCACTAATTCGTGCCTAATTCATGATAATTCCAGTTAATGAATGCAGCATGGGCTGAAGCCACGCTTATGCACTCACCAGCCAGTGGGCATGGCAGCATCTCCCCCTCCAGTCGCGACTCGATGTCACCACCCATACAGGTGTCCCCAGAGATCTTCCGGTAGCTGCAACACACAGAATTCATTGCTGTTGCAGGAGCACTGGTCACCACTGTGTTCAGCCAGTGCTTCTCAGCTACAAGCTGGACGTTGTGCTGTATGTCTCAGCATGAAGTCCACTTACTGTCACCTGCAAGGTGTGTGTGCATGTGTTTGGTCATATCACCATAAATCCCAGCCCTTAGAGGATGGGGTTCCCAAGCACAACGCTTACCCTCGAGTCCTCCTGTAGGTTGAGCCCACAGGGCAAGGTACTGGTGGGTCATAGGGCTTCCCTGCAAACTCGGGGTCTGGGATGCAAACTTCCAGAGAGAGATCCTCGCTCAGCTTAAAGCCAAAATCACTGCAAGGAGAGATGTGATGTGAGCAGGGAAGGGAGAGAAGCACAACAGAGCTGCTTTGCTGTGCTATTTTTGCAAAGTGTGAAGATCTCAGAAGTCCAGTATCTAGCTGTACACTAATATTTAGCTGTGCATCTTAGCTTCTTTCCTTAGGACTCTTCTCCACCACCAATGAGCCTCCCCATGCCAACCACTGGGGCTGGGCTCCCTGCCAGCTGGCCCATGTCTGCACCTCAGCATTCCAATCTGTAAGATGGGAGCTGTGGTGTGCTGCTGGTTGGGAAACACTGCGGAGGAGGCTATACCACTCTGGTTTTGCTGTGGTTCAAAGGCTCCCAGCTGACTTGTGATGAGCCAGATTCCTCTTAGATCTCAGCAAGGGACAGACAGGACTGTAGGTGAAAGCTCAGCCAGCAAAAAGCCATTCACTTACTAACCCCAAGCCTTTGCTTCTGAGTGCCAGAACCCATTCCCTAATCCCGACAGCTGTGCGGTTTCAGCTGCAGATGAAATGAGTCTGCAGGGCCAGCTGCATTCCTGCGGCTGTGGGGTCACAGGGCTGCACTGCAGAGCATCTCTGCGTGTGACAGTAAATTGTCTGCCGTCATTTGAAAGAAGGTGATGGATTAACAATATCTTCCTCTTGTATAGAGCCTTTCAGAGGTTCCCCAAAGGCTCAAGGGACATTAATTAAGTCTCACGACCCATTATTAATGAAAGGATGCTTTCAGTCTATTTAGTTTCCTCCTTGCTATAAAATCAAGCAGCGATACAAAGGGCAGAGTAAATTGGACATGTGTCCACTCAGAGCAATTGGTCACAGATATTTATCTCAGACATACAACCCAGACCAAAGGAAATTAATTGGTATTTACCATTCAAAGTCTTCCCTGGTACACGAGCAGTTGGAGACCATGACAGGCCTGTCAAAATCTTCCCCATTGAAACACGTCGCATGAGGAGTCCTCCTTTTGAAGACAGTTTTATGCCCCAGTAAGCACTCGTTGCCTCGCTCATCTGAGGGCGACCACAGCTTGTAGTCGTTCTCTGTGCAGGGGACCCCTAGAGAAGGGACAAGGTTGGGTCAAAGGTGGGCACCCCAGACTGCACTATGGGGCACCTGGACTCGGGATGTGGGAGCAGCTCTGCGGAGACCATTGGCACCCTACAAGGATGCCCTTTGTTGGCACGAGACGAATGTTTTGCCCTGGATACAAGGTTTTTAGCCCAAGACAGACAGCAGCGATGCTCAGCCCAGCAGCTCTGCTGCACTGATGGGGAATTGCAGTGCCTCGTTTAACTGGAGCCGTTCTGGATGCCAAACAGATCCACTTCTAACAAAACATCAGGGGAATCTGCTACGAATTTCAGTCGAGCAAATTCCTCTGCTGAGCTTAACTGCTCTTTGATTAAAACGCTGCCTCGCATTCAAAGCCGGATCCAGTTATAAAACATTCATGGGCAAAGCCTTCAGAAGGCTTTTATTCTTCCACGTTCCTGTCGAACAAATCCCTCAGTGATGATGGTTGGGGTTCGGTGACAGCATTAACAGCCAGGGCAGGATGCTCACCCAGCACGTCAGAGGTGTTGACCTGCAGGATGAGCCAGCTGTGGCCGTTCTCCTTGTAGGAACCAAAGATGGTGAAGATGGTGCTTTTCTCCCCAGGCTCTGTCAGCAGCCCATACACAAATACTGGCTTCTCTGAGAAGGTGAAGGATTTCCACGTCTCTCCCTCGTTGGTGCTGTACCTGCAGGAAAAGGATGGGGGTGGCTGCAATGGGGAAACCCAACCTGGCATCCCAGTTCTGTGCTGCAGCCCTTACTTGAGCTGGTCAGTCTCCGTGCCCTGTGCGATGGCCACCAGGATGCCCCCGTGGTCACCCCAGGTGTAGTAGTGGGGTCCTGATAGTGCCTGGAAGAGAAACAGTGGTGAAAGGAAGAAGGTCAGGCATGGGGATACAGAGTGCCAGGGCATTCTGCAGACCCCACGTTGTTCCTGTGCATTAGGATGCCCCAGTGGAGCACCGAGATCACCTGCAGCACAGCATGTCACCTCCAGAAGGAAATCATTTGTGTTTCCCCTCAGCACAGAACCACTTTCGCTTTCCTTTTCGGGTTCAAAACAGAAAGCACAGATCCACCCAACTCCACCATGCACCAACCTGCCTGGGGAAGCTCTGCTAGGGTCACTGAACACTTTGGTGCCTTTTATCTGCTTTTTGAGACCAAAACAGCGCTCTGCAGAGCAATAAGCCTTCCAGCAGCTTCCAAAACCAGGAAGAAAATGTTGTGCTGCTGCTCCTCTCAGTTGAGCAACAGCAGTGCGAGGCCATTCCACACCTCTGCACAGAGCACAAAGGTGCAGCTCTGTGCGGTGTGCCCAGGCTCTGCTTGTTCCTCATGGGGTTTAATTGCTCTGCAAAGCAAAACTGCCTGCGAGCCAGAGGAGGATTGCACAGACACAGCAGTCGGCTGCTCTCTCTGTCCATGAACACTACAGTTCCACTGAAACCCAGAGGCTGTGACAGCAGCCAGACCCGCGGCGTGCCCGGCACTAACCCTGCCCACAGGGTACTTAAGGGGAGGAAAAGGAGGCTGCCTAATGCATGTGATGAAACCGCTTGCAGATGTTGAAATACCATATTATGCTCACAGCAGAATGCACAGGCAGACCAAAAATACCGCTGCAGACCAAACACCCGCTCAGTAAACAGCACCAGATCTGCATACACTGAGGGCAGCATCCCGCGGTCTGGGAAGAGGCTGGAGCCTTTCCAGGCACTGTGCAGAGCTCTGCCTGTCAGTCCTGTCCACAAGGGACCGGCTGACCTGTGCTGAGGACACGTTCTACGAGCTGAACAAACAGAGCTCAAGCTGCATCTGAACCCGCTGCCTTCAGCACGAGGCGACCGCGCCTGCTCCTGCATCCAAAGATGGTTTTGCTACAAGGGGCATTCAGCATCTTCTGGCTGCAGCTCTTTGATGTGTGCACACAGGTCACCTTCACTGCCTATGGGCTGCAGCTCCCCAATCTGTGCTGCTGCCAGTGTGCTGAGCTGCCAACCAGAGCCCTTACCTCTCTCCACCTCGCCCCAGCGCTGCTTGAGATGTAGACGTTGGTTTTCTTCGCCATGCTCCTGCCGATGGAGCCTAGGAGAATGAGAACAGTCATCCCTCTGCAGGTAGACACAGCAGCCACTTAAATGAAGGCAGCTGCCTCGAAGCTATTCTGGTCTGTGAGCAAAATGCCGTGATGGAGGAGCTGATTTTTCCCACTGTAAGCCAGCGCTCTTAAAATCAAATATGTTAAGGACGATCACAAGTTTTAAAAGCAGCCGTGGAAAAACATATGGCTGTAAACATGATCAAACAAAATGAGCTGGTGGTTCTGCAAATGTTCCATCATTTGTTTTCTACAGCGAAGAAGTGAGACAAATAGCAATCCCTGCACGTCCAAGGAACCCTCCAGCTGGGAAGGGGTAGGAAAGAGGAGTGGATTGAAGCAGGCAAGGTTTGCAGTGTCACCACACTGCACTGACATGTACATACAGTCATTAGCGGGACTGCAGTGCAGAACAGGGCAGCAAAATGCACCATTTAGTTGCACTTCATAGAATCATAGAACACTCTGAGTTGGAAGGGACCCATAAGGATCACTGAGTCCAACTCATGTTTGTAAACTCCATTTTCTTTTAATTGCATCTACAAATGAGATGCCACCCAATTCCTCGTGCCTTTAAAATAATGTGCTCCCAAGCCCCTGAGCAGCAACAGAAGGAAAAATGGTACCGGTGGCAATGATCAGCCCTGGTGCCGACTCTTTGGAGAGGATGGGCATCCTCCGCAGCTGGAAATTCAGCAGCTGGCTCAGGCGCTGGGCCAGGTGGAGGGAACAGCCCTGGGAAAGCTGGGGAAGCAAAGCACACCGTCATCAGTGCCTCAGTCCCACTTCATCCTGCAGCCTCTGCTTTGGAATCATAGAATCACAGAATGGCCAGGGTTGGAAGGGACCTCAAGGATCATGAAGCTCCAACCCTCCTGCCACAGGCAGGGCCATCAACCTCCCCATTTAATACCAGACCAGGCTGCCCAGGGTCCCATTCAACCTGGCCTTGAACACCTCCAGGGATGAACGGGGCATCCACAGCCTCTCTGGGCAGCTGTTCCAGCACCTCACCGCTCTTTCTGTAAAGAACTTCCCCCTGACATCCAACCTAAATCTTCCCTCTCTCAACTTAAAACCATTTCCCCTTGTCCTGCTGTTATCTACCTTCTCAAAGAGTTGATTCCCCTCCTGTCTGTAGGCTCCCTTTAGGACACAGTACTCCAGATGAGGAGCAGAGTAGAGAGGGATGATCACCTCCCTGTCCCTGCTGGCCACCCCTCTGCTGATGAAGCCCAGGATACCATCTGATGATGGGATTTCCCATGCAGGCAGCTCAGCCCATGGACCCCTCTGCCTTTTGGGAGCTTGGCTCAGCTCTCACCTCACAGTGTGTCTTCTCCCCATAGCGTGTCTCTGCCGGGGGCTGCAGGGGCTCCCAGGTGCCTCCCTTGTCAAAGGTGATGACGGAGCGCATGTTCTCCTCGCTGAAGGAGCCGTTGAGCAGCGTGGCAATGTACACACCTCTCACACCCTCGACACGGTGGAAGTCAGCAAAAGGCTCATTGGCAAAATATCTGCAAGGGAAAGCCAAGGGGATAAAGAATTAAGAGTTGGTGGGATGGCCACAGTCAGAGGGCTGTGGTCAGCAGTTCTATGCCCAGGTGGAGGCTGGTGATGAGTGGTGTGCCCAGGGATCTGTCTGAAAGTGCTCCAGGCTGGGTTGAATGGAGCCATGGGCAATCTGACCCTGATGTAGTGCTTGGCAACCTTGCTCACAGCAAGGGGATGAAACTGGATGATCTTTGAGGTCCCTTCCAACCTAAGGCATTTTATGATGATTCTGTGTACTTTGGAGCACACTACCTGACCAGAGTGTCACTGCCTGCTCCTCCTGGGCTGTAGTAGAGCACATTTTCTAAAGACAGGGAGAACTTCAGGCCTTCTGCTTCCGAGATGTAGAGGTTGGTGCGGTTGTCATCGTGGCTGACGCACACGAACACCTGGTCCTCCGATGCATCAGCGATGTAGTACTCCTGTGGGAAGCAAAGGAGTGGTGTGCAGGCTATAAGTGCATGGGCACAGGAGCAGGGTTTGCATACAGGTCAGTGTAGCATTTCCTCATAGATAGCTAACAGTAATTCTCCACCCTGCAGCAGGGAGGTCATCCACTGCTTACCTTAATTGGATGCTTGGTAACGAATTGGGCCACCCGCATCGGCTTGCGGTTGAAGGAAACCCAGAGCTGAACTGATGATGGCTGCAAGCTGCCCAGCAAGCGCTACAGGGAGCAGAGAGAAACATCAGGAGTGGCTACAAACCCCAGAATCACCCTCATCCCTGTGCCTGAACCAACACTGTGGGGACGGCATTCTGGAGAGCAGCAAACACAAGCATGCCTCCTGCTGCCTGTTCTGGCAGCTCAGGTGGAGGCACAGAGACTGGTTTGGAGCAGAACAGCCTGTCCTTGCCTTCCTATTTTTAATGAGTTGCACGAAGGAAAAGACACCAGCGCCGAGCCAAAAAAGCAAAAGCTGGGGGCAATGTGTTTAGTGCAGGTTGCCAACGGTAAGCACCCAAACCCAGATTTAGGCTCCAAAAATAAGCGGCCTGATTTTCCCCGGCTCCATATCACCAAGCAACCACAGCTCCTGGGGAGGGGAGCAGGAATCAGGAAGTCCCAGCTCCCTTCTGGTCCATGAGGGTTGTGAGGATGGGCTGCCATCTCCATGGGGACACCGACCATCCCCAACATCTCACCAAACCCCATCAGAGCACCCAGATAGCATCTCCTGCTAACCACAGCAGGCACAGAGCTAAGAAGGCAACGTGCCCTGGAAGTTGCAAGAGAGATTTCTGAGAAGCTGAAAGCGCTCTTCAAATTGGGGTGATGTTGCTGGGGATGCAGGGTGAGAGCATGTAAGAGCCACCTGCAAAGGGCAAAGCGCTCCTTGCAAAAGGCTCGGTGGCAGCAGCAAGTGAAAAGCAATGCTTGCATCTTACAAAAAGGAAATTGCTCCTTGAGTTCTAGCATGGTGTCTCCAGTCATCTGTGAAGGACTTGCCCTCACTGAGAGCACAGATAAGCCAAGCTGCAGCACGTAAGGCTGCCTGGTCCCAGCTCGCGTTTGAGCTAATCCCTGACGACAAGTGGCCTCCATTCACCCAGCCCTGTCCCCCCTCCTGCCTCCGCATCCACCCCATGCGTTTCCAGCCCTGGTGCTCTACAGCCTGACCTACTTCTGCCCACCCTGCTGATGTGCAGGGCAGCAACAGCACGGCCGGCATTGCTCCATCTGCAGGATCAGCGTGGTGAGCTGAAGGCTGCGGGGACTCACCACAGACTTTGTGGCAAACAGGTATTTGTCCCGGAGTTGGAAGTCATCAACATCCTCCAGGATCACCTCTTTATTTTCTCGGCTTTGGAAGAAATCTGTGCTGCGAACGACAGTGGAGGTGCCAGAGGGCTCGTGCCGCTCGATGTACACTGTGTTGGGCTTATCGTAGGGCTCGACACCCCTGGACAGCAAAGAATGAGAAGGTTTTTATCACCATTGCACTCACAGAGCAGTGCAGAAGGCACAGAGGAGCCAAAGCCTTTTAAAGAGACGTGTTTGGCATGCAGGGTCTGGGGAAACGGGAGCAGCCCTGGCCTCAGCAGGGTGCAGAGCCCAGAAAGGGAGATAAAGCTCTGCATGGCCCAGGAACTCCAAGAGGGGAAGGAGGACTGGTCACAATGTGGGGAATGTGATTGTAATGAAGTTTGCATGGGTGTGTTCGCCTCCTGATGTTATCTGGGGCTCTGTGCTTCCTATTTGTGTCTCAGCTAAGGCCAGGAAGGATGGGGTTGGAGATGTCACAAGCCCTGTTTGTCAGGGGATGTCCCTTCTTGTGTGACCCTGAGGAGATAAGCTGGAAATCTGCAAAGCGTGTGGCGAAATGGCTGAGATGGTGGGGATAAGAACAGGAGGGACCTGAATGTTGGTGACAGCTGATGGCCAGAGCAGCTCTGGTGGCTGAGAAAGAAGAAAGCCTATGGCCCACATGATCAGCCCAGGGATGGGGTTGGGAACACGGTGGTACAGGGAGACAGAAAGCCAGGAGGGAGGGAGCTGGATGGAACACAAAGCTACAGCACATACCAGGAAAAGGACTTCACGTGCTCCTGTATCATTATCCAGGTCTGGCCAAAGTCATCTGATTTCCAGAGCTGCAATGGGAAAGGTGAGAGATGGGCCTGGATCATGCAGTGCTCTCAGAGTGTGCAACCCAAGGGAGGGCGACCTCCAAGACACCAAAGCTCAGGCAGCAGAAGGAGGACAGGGACACATCCACCTCAAAGCTGCACCACGTCCATGACTTCCCTGCCTGGGTGAAAACCACCCAAGCAGGAAAACACTGCCTTCACTTTATAGGGCTGCCTGGTTGTATAGGAACTCAGAAATAAAAATAACTTGCTCTAAAGTGCTCGTGGTGTGTGCAATTGCAAAGATAAACCTGCGGGCAGAGCCTCTCCCTCCTGGAGCATGTCACAGCCATAGGAGTGCTCTGCCACTGCCCAGCTGCGGGTGGGAGGAGGGCAAAGTTCCTGAGCAGAGATGGTATCTCTTATTTCACCAGCAACAGCAGCAATAAACATACCAACCCGCAGGCACACCAGCCCCACTCCGGATCCCAGTCTCCAAGGGCAAACCACATTAAGCACTGTAGATTTCTGACTTAGGTTCCTCTCTTCTCCATGAGGGAGTCAGGAGTGACTGGGATAAAACCAGGGCCCTCGTGCCTTGGCAGCTGTGCTCACCTGCTTGTTGGGGTGGGATCTGTCAAAGCCCAGGACGAGGTTGGGGTTCCTGCTGTGCAGAAGGAGATCTGCTGCCCTAAAGGGGATCGAGAAGCCCTGGATGCTCTTGCAGAAGTCAGTGGTGATCCAGAGGTAAGGGACAAAGGCATCCACAAAGATATACTGGGGAGAGAAGGACAGAGAAGGAAGAAAATCAGAGCAGGGCTCAAGCTACCCATGACAGCAACAAGTCCTGGGGAGCACCTGAGAGGGAGAACTCTGGAGGAGAGGATCTTGTTCCCACACTTCTACCACACTCCGTTGCTCTTTGAGGTCCCTGAAGCCAACAACTGCTGTGTGCAGAGTGGAGTTTTTTGGCATGATGCAGCGATGTGGGTGAGTGTGTCCATGCCCCAGTGCTTCCAACCCAGCTTTGGACATGGGAATATCCATGGGGATGGAGAGCTGCAGAGCCAGGATGGCTCAAACCACTGCAGGAGAGCTTCGGCCAGAAGAGAGGTGGCTTTGGTGTAGGTAAACTTAAGTGTGCCACAAGAGCATGAAAGGTAATGGCCTTCAGTTGTCCCAGGGGAGGGTACTGGGAGAAATTTCTTCTCCCAAAGAGTGGTTTGGCACTGGCACAGGCTGCCCAAGGAGGTGGAAGTCCCTGGAAGAATTGTGGTACATGGGGACATGGTCAGTGGGCACAGTGGGGATGGGCTGGGGTTGGGCTTGGAGATCTGAGACATCTTTTCCAACCTTAATGATTCTATGATGATGCTGATGGGCGCACAGCCCCTAACTCTGTTAGCACAAGCCGCTGTGGGTGCAGCCCCCCACCACCCCACTCCCTCAGTCCCTTGCACCCCGAGGGGCACCACAGGGCACCGTGCCCCCCTCAGCCCCGCTCACCCGCTGGTTGTTGGCTGGGCTGTGGTAGAACTGAGCGATGGCCACCGCACTGCTGTTCCCATCCCCAAAGCTGAACCTCTCCGAAATCTTTTTAAAACTCTTCCCGTAGTCATAAGAGATGTAGACCTGCAGCAAGAGACCCGGTTACAGGAGCAGGGCTGCAGGATGCCAGGCAAGGGACAGGCAGCTCACGGCACTTACGTCGCTGTTTTTGGGGCCCAGCAAGGACAGGCTGTCCCTGGCCAAGGCCACGATCACGTTGCTCTTCTCTCCTGCCCAGTGAACGACCATCTGGTTGTGGGAGTCATTGAGGCTGACCTGCAAAGGGAATGGGCACCGTGAGCCGGAGCACAGGGTCCCCTCCTCCTGGGGAATGCATGCAATGGGATAAGGCGTTCAAACCTGAAGAGTATTGAAGCAATCCCAGGGGCAACAGGACCCTGTGGGGTCAGGGGGAGGGTTAGGGCTACAGGGCATGGACCACTGCTTGGATTTCAGTGCTCACTGTGAGCTGCCAAGCGGTTAAAGCACTGAGAGAGACCTTCCCTGGGGAGGAGGTGGTGAAGGAGGATCTGCTGCGAGCACGCTGTGCAACCCATGAGTGTGAAGTTCATTTATTCTTCCTCAGAGAAAGAGGATTTGTGAGATGACCAGAACCAAAACTAAAACCGAGGAAGAAGCGATACAAACCGGGCTGGCTAGGCAAAGGGCCAACACAAACAGAGTCACCTTCCTACAGTGATCTCCGTGCTTAGAAGGACGTGCAGGTATCCAAAACAGGTGCAAGCAAACCCACTGCTGCCTGTGCTCGTGCTGTACCTGGAGGGCTGGTTTCTATGGGGAAATAATCGCAGCATTGCTGCAGCAGGGCTGGAGGTGCTGCTCTGCAAAACACAGCGTCTGCAGGGAGCTGTAGAAATACAGGGCTAAGCCCTGCTTAGGGCTGGTACCCAGCAGTTTCCTCCTCCCTCCCCCACCCCCCGCCCCCCAGTGATGGGCAAAGAAACGTGTGGAAAAAATGATGGCTTTAGTCCAAGAGAGGCAAGTGAAACAGAAGTCCCCAAATCCCTGTTACGTAATGGGCTTGTGCAAAAGGAAAAAAAGGAGCAAATTAGAAAGCAAACAAGGGGACAGTGAGCATCCCCCAGGGCTGGTGCTTGCAGCTGCTGGGCTGTGTGCCTCCACCTGGGGCTCAGAGCAGAGATGTAGGACTGCAGGCGGCTGCACCCCAGCAGTGGGGGTCAGTGAGACCTTGGGGATGCAGGAAGGAGAGGGTGATGCTCCCCACACACAACCTACAGTGTGAAACCCATGGCAGCTCTGTGTCCCCACCCCAGCATCCCCCATTTTCCCTTTTCCATCAGATCTGACTCTTCCACAAGCAGGAGCTGCTTAGTGCCACTCGTTTGGGTCTAAGGCTGCAGCAATGATGGGTCAGCAGCAGCGAACTTGCCCACAAAGCCCCCTCCTGGGGACAGCCTGATCTCCTCCCCATGTGTTTTCTCCAGGATGGGTTTGTTGACGCCTCCATGACATTTTCAGTAGCACTTTGCAAGTTGTTCTGCAAGAAATCTGACACTAGGCTAGCTAGAGAAACAAAACAAGAGGAGGCTCTGACCCGTGCCCTGCTTTAAACTCAGCCAAATGACCTCTAAAGCATTATTCCCTGTGAGCAAAGAGACTGAACCGCAGACAGAGTGCTGTCCTTGAGCAGGGGACCAGGGCTGTGCGGCAGAGCCAAGGCCTGGGCAGCAGCTGAGCCCTGGTTCTGCACTGAGCCACTGGAGAAACCTCCTTAAGGAGCTGCCTGGATCCACGAGCAGGCAATGGCTGGTGCCCAATGGAAACAGCACTTAGTAGAAAATCATCGTAATGGGGCTGTGTTTTGCTTTCTGCCAAGTGATTAAGGATATATGAAATATGCATGAAACTCTAATTTGTCCTCCTAATATGTAAGGTGCCAAATGAAGTCCACGAGGGGAGAAATGAAGCCAAGATGTAGGGGAGGCTGCTTGTATCTCTAGTTAACACAGTTTATGTAGTGTTGCTCACATTCATATTTTCTTTCTGTTAACAGCATCTCCCCACAACCAAAACCCCTGGTTTAGAGCAAGACAGCAACCCTGGAGCTACCATCACACTGGAGCAAGCATGAAGGGCATCCCTGTGAGCTCTGTGCAGGGATGGATGGAGGACATGGGCTGTACTTGCAGTGCATGGCATTGCCTCAGAGTGGGCTTTGGAGCAAAGCATGCATCGAAGGGTTTGTCCTGTGCTGCAGGACTCTGACCTGACCTAGGGAAGGGCTGTTAATAACGAAGCACTCCATGTCAACACCACACCAGGGCTGCACGAGGGAAAGAGATGTGTGGGGATCGTGGCTCTTTCTTCCCATCCTTGTTAAGCAACAGCAAATGGGATGCTTAACAACAAACACGGTTCCGAGATCGTTCCTGAATAATTAATAGGCTGTTAAAAGGATAAGTGAGCGTGTTGGCGAGGCATGAAACCTCTGAGGCTTTGAGGTGCCAAGCCCTCGTGCTCCCTGAGCCCCTGCTGCATTGGGGTGGCAGAAGAGCAAAGCCAAAGGGGGGGTCATGGCATCATGGGGGGCTGCAGTGCATTGCGTTGGTGGCACTGCAGTGGTTGTGTTGGTGGCACGCATCGCTCCTCGTGCATCCCACCGACGCTCCATTCCTGCACCTTCTGCTCAGCACAGAGCATCTGTTCCATCCCTGCATGGTATTTTAAGCCACCTCCTGTGCCTGCCACGGCTCTGCCTGTGGCTCGGGCTGAAAATGCCAGGGCCCGAAATCACCCATATGAAACACGAGTGACTCATTTCAGCGAGCGCCAGGCCCCTGTTAATTGTGTTAATACCAAAATCATCTGCTTGCAGAGCTGTTTGCTCTCTGCTACCGCCAGCAGAGCTCTCCTTTTGCTGTTGTGCCTGAAGGAAAGGAAAACGATAGTGGGGTTGGGTCAGGAGCACTGCTTTTTTCCCCAGGAATGAGTCAAAGAAGGGAGGAAGGATAGGGCTCAGGGCCTGGGAGCTGTACCAGGATGTGCGGCCAGCACCCAGGGCATGGGTAATGTAGGTCACAATTAATTATGGTTCAATTCCGATGGGCTGTGATTGATTTCTCTGGTCATGGAGCCGGATGGTGTTTATCCTGCAATGCACATTTCTCTGTTTTGGAGAGCAGAAAGGTTCTGCAGCATGGTGTGGGTTGTAGGATGCTCATGGCCTCAGAAGAGCTCCTGTGCTCTGTGCTTGGAGCTGTTCTTGCTGCATGCTGGCAGCTTATGGGGGCACTCAAGGCAGCAACCAATGAACCCAAACACCTTTCTGCCCACCAGCACCGTGCAGTCTGCTCTGGCAAGGAAGGAGGCTGCTCTCTCAGTGAGTGCATTGCTTTCTTGGTCATCTGTAAGAGCTGTAGTGCAACAAGGATGGGAATGTCTCCTGCACAAAGTCGTCTCAGTGCAGTGATTTTAACAGGAGATGAATTCTTCTCTGCTGGGCTTTGCAAAGCTGTCATAAAGATGAAGGTCACTGAGTAACAGCACAGGGGAGGAGCTGGTGGTCATCCATGTGGGATGCAGAAGTGCCTGGTTCTCTGAGCACTGACAGCTGGGGAGGTCCTCAAGGGTGGGCTGAGAGAAGGTCATGTAGTCCTCCTACAGTGCAATTGTAAATAGCCAGAAAACAATGGAACCTGGTGTTCCTCTAAGGCAGGAGAGGTTGTCACCAGCAAGCAGGACCTGAGAGCGAAGGAGGTTCTGAGATGATTTGACTCCATGGTCCTAGGAGGGACAGGTGGATGCTGAGGTGGGCAGCAATGGCTGCAAATGCTGTCCCTAACCCACATCACCTTCCCCTTGCAGGGTCAGCAGATGAGCTCACTTCCTGCCCAGTACCATCCATCACTGTCTGCTGCTGCCACACCAGTACCCATGAGATAGCGTCACCTGACAGGTAGGCAGCAGGAGCAGCAGCTTCATGTGCCCTTCTTCTTGTACTGTCCACAGGCTGAGTGGTTCTTTGCTGGTTTATCCCCAGGATGGGATGGGATTTGAAGGATGGCTGGGATGGAAAAACCAGACAGAGGGATGAGGATAAGTCTCCACCGCTGTAATGAAGCCATAGGGTGGGCAGTGTGCAGTGCTTTGGATGCTCACAGGGACTGAGGGAGTGCTGAAGGGCATAAGCAGCACTTGTCCTGCTCAGGGGATGCTTCCCATCAGTGGCATTGCAGAAATGACCCATCCAGTGTCCAGAGCCCGTTGCCAAATTTGCCAAGCTGTGCAGTGCCATGGAGAAGCCGCGGTGGCTTTGGAGTGCACCCCCAGCTCCAGTTCTGGCTGTCACAACGTGTCACTCCATCAGTCCCCCGGCTGTGTTCCAGCAGTGATGGGCAGCTCTGCACGAGCAGTGCCATGAGGTTACACCAGGGCAGGGCGAGCCAACACACAGCATATGGCTGAGCACACTGCCAAGCACAGGGAGCAGCACATGCCCCTGAGAAGGGTCTCCTGCAGGGCTCTCAGTGGCTCACTCCAAGCACTGTCACCTTGCTGATGTCCCTCTGCTAACCCTGCCAGCATCAGGGGAGCCACAGAGATACAGGAGGGGTGGGGACCACATGATGCTTGTGACTGGAAGCAAGCAGTATAGCATGTGGCTTTGTTTTCCTTCTTGTTCATACACCACAATGCGGGTTATATCCTAATTCCTTTTGTAACAGACACCACGATGTAAAGCACTGTATGGTTCAGAAGGGTTGTGTAAGGCCTAGTGAAGTCCTGGTGAAGTCTGGTACCTGGGCTTTAATATGCTTGCATCCAAAAGCAGCAGAAGGGCCAATTTTTATTAAAATTAAAATAAAGCATTAAAGTCTGCAACTGTTTTGTGTAATGCTGCCAGTGAGAGCAATTCATTGCTCCAACGAATCCCTTCCAAAAGCTTCAGGCAATGAGAAAAGACCCGGCAGAGGCCAATTGTATACAAAAACCCCCCTGCCTGCTCTGTGTCCTGCTCTGGATGTTACTGCAGCCTTCCAAGTGTTCCAAGTCCAGGCTATGGGTGCTGCTCTCCACCCTGACCTGTCGAAGTGGCCTGAATGATAGCTGTGGGGGGGGCTGAAGGGAAAATGCCCCACATATGTCCTGACAGTACAGAGGAAGGGGAAGTCATTGGGAACGGAGAAGGTTAAGAGGGAAAGTTCTCCTCTTCCATAGGAGGGAAATGCAGATGTGGCCGCTGCCCTCAGGCAGCACACGGGCTACACAGTGGGACATGAGCAGCCTGAGCGAGCGGGGTCACACGAGGCAATGGCTCACAGTTTGGCATATAGGGTAAAACACAAAAATAACGGGCAGGCAATGGCAGCCTGCAGACTTCCAGGGCAGGCACACGGGCAGCGTGTCCTGTTCTGACTTCCCCCCCAAAGTGAGGCAAAGGGAGAGGAGGATGCTGGTCCCGGCAGCAAAACTTGCTAATTAATGGAGCCTGCGCAGGGATGCTCTCAGGGACGGCCATCTGTATGCTTTTCTGTGGTCAGCCAGCTCCTCACATCAATAAGCAAGGGCCAGCCGGGCAGACAAGCAGCCAGGGAGAAGCCCTCCTTACAGAGCAGGCTCAGCACCTCACAACAGCACAATCTTGCTCTAAAGTCTCCCCTTCAGCCCAGTTTCAGGGTCGAAACGTCCCATTTAAGCACATCTAGTGGGAGACAGATGCCAGCTGCAGCTCCCAGCCGTGGGGTTCCCATCCCCTGGGGACAAGCTGGCCGTGTCCCCGGCTCAGACCCACGAGCGTGCCCTGCCAACCCGGCGGCACGGCTGGGTCGCGATGGCTCCGACACCAACCGGGGGAGATGCGGGGATAGATGTAACCGCGCTCAGCATCTCCCGGTCAGCTCCGTTTGGAACAGGGTAAGTGCGGGCGCTCGTAGGTTCAGTAGGGGGCTGCGGTGCCCCGGAAAGGGGGAGGGGGGAACCACGCAGCGCAGCATTCACCCTGCCAAAGGGGAGGGGGGGGGGAAAGGGAGGAAAGAGGGGGAGGTCGCGACCGCGGCTCACCTGTCCGTACACCTGGATGGGCTCCTGCGCGGCACGGCGGCTCCGCGGGGGTTCATCGGGTGCCTCCGGAGGGACGCGTAGCAACAGCGAGGAGCCGCCCCCCGCCGCCCCTTCGGACAGCAGCAGCAGCAGCAGCAGCAGCAAGGCGAGGCGGTGCGGGGAGAGAACGGCACCTTTCGCCCCGCCGCTGCACCGCGTCGCCATGTTCGTGGCGCGGGGCCGGGCCGCGCCGTGCGGGACCGATGGAGCCGCGCCGCCGCCCGGTCAGAATGTGCAATGTGCTCCGCCGCGCCGCCCCGCGACCGCCCCCAGAACGATGTGCTCTTCCCCCCCCCCCACCCCCCATTCCACGCTTCATCATCCCGGGGGTAAACCGGGCCCGAGGGATGCGGGCGTCGGGGAAAGTCCGATGTCATCGATAGGCTTAGCGGAAAGGGTGTCGGAGCAGCCGTTACACGAGAGGAAAAAGAAAAAGATTGAAGAAAGAGCGAGTGGAAAAAAGAGCGAGGCTTAAATATCGGATGTAAGAAACTCAGAGCTCAGAAATTGGCAATTAAACAAAAAAAAAAAAACACGGAAAAAAGAGGTACACGGTCCTAAGTTGGCAATCTGAAGTGATGGGAGGTCGGTGGTAAGAAAAGCAGTGACAAGGAAGAGCTGGTCAAAGGGAAGCTGTCTGAAGCGGTAATAGAAATGAGCACTGCAAAGTACACAGTGTAAAATCAACAGTGAAAATCGGCAAAGTACACAACCAAAAATCAACAGTGAAAGATAAACATTAAATTAAAAAAAAAAAAGGGCTTTTCAGCCAAAGCTGCTACAAAGTCTGTGCATCGCAGGGATTACCGTGTTTGCCAGCCTTGTGACCCATCTGCATGGTGGAGGTGATGTATGGTGACATGGGGACAGTGCAGACCACCATTGGGGGGCTCAGCTCCCTGCATTTTGCTGGCTGTAACAGCTGAAACATTGCCCAGAGTGTTCCCAGAGGTACCTTTTGCCTAGAAACCTAGTTAGCGTGTTTCAATTACGGAGCCAATACAATTAGAAGCCCTCCTAATAAAGCTCTTAGCTGTCTCGATTCAGGGTAATGTCCCCCTGGAGGACCACAGGTCACGGGGGTGAGAGTTGATAGATGTTTGTGCATGGATCCGTGGAGCTGCTGTCTCCAGGTGGGACCAGCAGGGACCCAACACACAACAGCATCCCTTCCCCAAAGTGCTGCCCCAATCCCCAGGAAAAAAAAAATAAGAAAAAAAAAAAAAAAGAAAGAAAAAAAAAGAAGAAACTGATTCAGAGTAGAATAGGAACTGGTGAGAAATGAGGAACCGGCCCAAGGATGGTTTGCTCTTTGTGTGAGCACTTGCTGTCCAGTCTGAGCCCCAGGGTTGTTCTTGGGGAGGCTGGGTGTTGCAATTCCTCTGTTTATAGCCCCATGTAAGAGCTGTTTGCTGTAGAATGCCCCATCCCTGCAGGCATTCAAGGCCAGGCTGGATGTGGCTCTGGGCAGCCTGGTCTGGTGGTTGGTGACCCTGTACATAGCATGGGGTTGGAACTGGATGAACACTGTGGTCCTTTTCAACCCAGGCCATTCCATTCTATGATATGAGAAGGAGATATGAATGTACTGTCATGTTCAAGGGAGCTTTTCCTGGGCAGATTGGCCTTTTTTAAGTCCCCACAGTACATGAGTCTCCCCATCCAGCACTGCTGCCTGCCTGCAGAGGAAGGTTGTGTTGTGTTGAAATGACCCCATTTACAGAGGGGCTGGGAAAGCCACAGGGAGCAGGAGGTTCTTCTCCCAGACAGGAGGTGTATTGGGTATGTCAGTGGCAGACCCCATTTTGTTCTCAAGCATCTTCCAAAGAGGCAGCACACAGGAGGTTTGTGGGCAGATGTGCAGGCAGCGCAGTGGCCCCCTATGGGCTGTCTGCTAGGAATGAATGGTGTGCAGGGATACAGGAACCCTTCCTCAGCTGTGCTGGGCACATATCACATATATGGTACGGCATGGTACGTCCCTTCCCCTGGTCTGCATTCCCTTTGGTGTAGCAATAGCTGCACTGAAGAATATACCTGATTCTGGGGCCATATCACAACAACCCCAGTAAAAAGCTTCGGTGATCTGAGAGCATCTCCCTGCAGGGGAGCCAGCAACACCACGTGCTGTGGGGCTGTGTGTGTTTGGTTGTGTGCACACGTCGCTTTCAGAGTAGAAAAGCTCTGTGGTGCAGTGTTCATGTGCTGAGGGATGTTCCTTTGTGGCAGCCTCTACCAAGGTATGAGCACTCGCTTCTCAGGTTGTGAGGAGCTCTGTGGGATGTGTGTGCTGGCATGTTGGCATGCCATAGGCAGCAGTGCTGGGCATTTGCATCCCCTGTGTAGGGTTGGCACGGCTGTCCCACTGCTGGGTGTAGCAATAGCATCACTCTGCCTACAAGAGCAGGAGAGCCTGTAAGGGACGATGGTCAGCCATATCTGCAGTAAGGTCGCAGCCTACGGACACACACACGGACACACGGACACACGGACACCCGGACACACGGACACACGGACAGGGCTCCGGCCTTTGGGCTCCGGCGGTGAGGGCATAGCGCTCAGCAGCGCCACCTGGCGGCCGCTCCTAAAAGTGCATGAGGCCCGCGGGCTCCGCGGTGCGGCAGAGCTTTCTATGGCCAAGGCAACCGGGAGAAGGATTTGTTTTCAGTGTAAATTGGAGCCTCTCTGCTGAGAGATGGGGGCACGTGTAGGAGAGAGGTGGTTCTATAGGAGGTGGGCTGTTGCATGCAGGGTGCAGGGGAAGGTCGCATGCCCGAGGAATGTGGCACATCCTGTGCTGCCCTGCAGGAGGGCTGGCAGAAGGGTGCTGGGCAGGGATAGAGCTTTTCCGATGCTGACAGGGCCCTGTGCCGATGTGCCAAGGTCTGTGCTGCTGTTGTCACATTTAATCCAGCCTTTGCCTCGACCTTTGGTGTTTGCCTGAGCGCCAAGCTACTGCGCATCCAGAGTTCATGTGCACGTGGGGATTGAGTAACTGAGGGGAGGGGAGAACAGGGGCGGGATGCAGGGAAATGAGGGCTGAGCCATGGGTGTGGGGGGAATACAGTTCCTGGGGGTTAGAAGGTGCGTGCCCATCACAGAGGAACTGCACGAGGGCCCTCTGTCCCAGGAGTGGATGCATGCGTCTGTTGCAGTAACTGCACCCAGGAAGCAGAGTGTTGTATGAGTCCCCTGTGCAGTGGAAACGCTAAGTGACAGCCTGAAGCAGTAATTAAGCACCTGGTGAGAGGGCAGGGCTAACCCAGGGGAGCTCAGGTGCATGCAATGTGCTGACTGATGGAAGGGATCTAGCCAGGATCCACCCCTTCCCAGCCCTCATTTAAGGGTTGGCAGTGAGGGAAGGGGGTCTCACTGAAGATCCCTGCCTACCTGAGGCTTCCTGAAGGTAAACAAGCTTTCTCCTTTGTTTCTGCATCTTTAGTTGCTGCATTTAGGTTTGTCCTCATTTGCTGCAGCCAAGGATTTTGCCACCCCGTTATTATTGCTGTACTTTCCATATATTATAGTGTTACACCCTGTATGGTATGGAATGCACTGGTATTGCTGTGGGGCAGTGAAAAGAGATTTCTCCTACTTGTGTGTCTGGGAACCTCTGCAAAGAATAAAGGGAGAAGAGAGGGTGAAGGCTTAGGTGGCTGCTGCGGAGTGAGGTGAAAAGCATCACCCTGGGGCACACTCTATCATCTGCCTTGGGCTGGGAAGGCAGAAGGCTGTGTTACAGCATGGGGAGGTTTAGGGAGAGGGGGTGACAGAACAGAGCTGACTAGGCACGGAAAAGCCCTGAACAATGCTCACTGTGCTCTGTTGTTCTCTGTGGCTTGGGCATGAGAGCACAAAGCTGGCAGAGAGGCCTGTTGGGTGGTAACTTGTGGGGTGATTGGTGGGAGTGGGTGGAAATAGGGTGCCAGGATGGTCTCTGTACTGTCTGGAGACTGATAGTGAAGATGCCACATGCCGTCAAAGTTGGCAAATGAGTTTTATTAAAGGTTAGCCTGACTGAAGGCAGGGCAGCCAGGTGTCCAAAGGAAGCACATTGGCTTTTCAGGGGGGAAACAAGCCAGAAACCACTGCTCCTCCCCATCCCCAGCTTCTAAGCCTTCCCACTTCCCCTCCTCTAATGCTCCCTGTGAGTTCAAAGGGCTCAATGTCTGCCTCTTATCTCCAGAAGTGCCCCTCTGTGTTAAGTTCTCATGTGGCATCTTCAGGTGAGGTGAAGGAGCTCTCGTCCAGTGCCAAGAAGTCCCAGAATGTCCAGAGGCCGAGGAGCCATGAGGAAGACCTGTGCTGGCTGCACAAGGTAGCAGGTCACGGTGTTTTTCTCAGGGAATACAGATGTGCAGGTCACACTGGAGAACACAATGCACGATGCTGTTTGCCTCTCATCTTGATGTGTCTTGATCTGTAGGCGTCCATGGCAGCTCATGGAGGAAGAGAGATGGGTGCAGATGGATGGAGACCCAATGACATGCCATGTTACTGCTGTGCTTACATTGCAATGCTGTTTGTGTGCAGGGCTCCTGTATGGACTCACAGGTGGTGATGGCAATGGGGTGAGTTTGTGTTGCAGCCGAGGTTCACAGTGTGAAGCGAGGATGGAAAGTGCTGTTCTGGGAGCAGGGATGGAGCTCTTGGAGCTGCTGTCAGTGCACGTGTCCTGCTGAGTGGGCAGTACTCACAGTCATACAGGTTGGAGAGAGCACGTAACTGATGTGGGGCACAAACATGGCATGTGTATTTCCAAGAAGTCTGAATAGCAGCAGCTTTGCGTAGCGTTAAGGTGTCTGTGTGCCATGAGGAGGGGTGGGAATGTGGGGGGGGAAGGGGTCCAAGACCCATCCACGAGCAGAGAAGGTCCCAGAGCGGCTCAGATTGAAAAGATGGGCTGTGAATGAGCATCCATGGGTGGTGGCTGTGTGCTGTAGAAGTGGAGGGAACTGTGTGGCATCCTCCTTTCCATGTGCACATCAGCCCCATGTGCACCTCTTGGCCCAGGGGAGCGAAGGGTTTGAGATGCTGAGACTTGCTGAGCGATGGGAAGAGATGGGGACTCCTTCTATGGGGGAACATTGTCCGAAAAGGCTCAGGAGGGGTGGGATGAGACAGAGTCTGTTGGGGTTGCAGCCAATTTAGGGACACCTATTCTGTCTTGTCAGTGTCACCATTGGGACACGCTGAACCATTCTCCCGCAGCTTGCGCATGTAATCGTGGGGGCCTTTGCCCTCAAAGGCAGTGGGGCTCTTGTAGGATCCACCAATCTTGTCCCAGAGGGTGAAGTACTGCCCGTAGTTGTAGTCAAAGTAGAGGTGGTGGTCAGTGTGGTGGGCAGAGCCGTTGATGACGTGCCGCAGCAGCTGGGGGACGCGATAGTCGCCATCGTGGATGGAGATGGTCCAGACGTTGACGAAGATGTAGAGGCCCAGGTAGGTGACTTTGTGCAAGGGGAAGAGGAAGGGGTAGATGTGGTAGGGCAGGCTCTGCATGAAGCCATCCACGGGGTGGAAGGCATGGCTGGCGAAGGGCGTCGCAATCTTCCAGAGGTGGTGGGGCTTGTGGAAGCGCTGTGGGGAAAGGGTAGGTGCTGGGCCAGAGGCGAGGGGCTGAGGCCCATGGGATAGGAGCCCCTCTCCAGGCCCACCTATTTTGGGATAGCTACCTGTCAGCATCACTGAGGATAGTTGTTGTGCGTGGCTGAGTGACACAGGAAAGTTGGGGTCAGAGAATCTTTGTAGGCTTTAACAGACTACGAGCTCACTTGTCAGTGGGGATGCAGATGAGGAAATGTGACCCACCTGCACCCACCCCCACCTGCACCCATCCCCATTTCTCAGGTGGTGTCAATACCCTGCTGACAGCCAGCTCCCCCAAGAAGATCCTCTACCTTATAGAACAGCCTGTGGTGGAGGCCTCGGTGTATCCAGTAGATGCCCATGTCAGTGAAGAAGAGGAAGGACAGCATACTGAGGAAGACTCCAGGCCAGCCTAGGGGAGGGAAGTCATGTCAGTATTCCTTCTGCATGTGCCATAGCTCTAAAGGGTGAGCATGAGTAGGAAGCTGGGGCTTCATGTGTGCAGAGGTGGAGGAAAGAGAGCAGGGTCATGGTGGAAAAAGTGAGCTGGGTCCTATGGGATTATACAGCAAGGGATGGAATGTCATGCAGCTAGGACAGGACGTGCATCCCGTTGGCACTCTTGACCCTGAGGTAGGGGGTTGGCTGTCATGTGCGTGGGCTGACAGGGTGCCAAGGGCATAACTCAGAGCTGAGATGCTTTGGAGCTGGGAGGTGGCCTCTATTGATGCTGCCAGCATTATGGGCTGCCAGCTCTGGCAGGAGTTTGAGGGGGGGTATGGGAGATGTCTGCAGGTTTTTGGCTCAGAATGAAGAAGAAATGTGTGGAGATGGGGGCAGAGAGCAACAGAGAATGAAGGGTAGGGGGACAGCGGGGCCTGGGCAGCAGCTCACCATAGGGGGAGTCCTCAATGTTGTCATATAGTTTGCTGTAGCCCCGGACCTCAGCAAAGAAGATGGCAACGGTGGGGACACTGATCCAGGGCAGGGAGCGCAGTGCGTAGATGATTTCCCGTTGCACCTGGTTCTGTGGGGAGGCAGAGAGGGAGCCAGGTTAGGGGACAGCATAAGTGGAAGCAGAGTGAAGTACACAGCACTTATTGTGCCATTGAGGCCATGGGCAGGCAGGGAGGGCAGGCATTTGGCATGCTGTTTGGTATTTGGAGCAGATGTTCAGGTGTATACCTGGGGGCAGGGTGTGCAGAGAGGTTGTTTTGAGGAGAGCTGTGCTGTGGGTGTGGAGAGTAGGTGCCAGGATAGCCTGGAGTGTAAGTGATGTTGGTGGGGGAAGAGAAGGGTCTCGGGTGCATTGGATCTGGTAGTGCAGAGGTGATGGTGTCATGCAGGGTAAGAGGTTGATGAGTTTGTGTGAGCAGTGTGCTGAGTCCAGCAGTGAGGAGGGCTGAGCTGCAGGCAGCCAAGGAGGTGGTTTGTGGAGCTGTGTGCAGTGCCTTGCTGTTGGGCTGCTCAGGCCAAGGTGGGATGCCTGATGCAGGGATGAGCTGCTGGGCATGGTGGCTGATGTCAGTGGTCACGAGGCTTTTGGATCCTGCCCCAAAGAAATTGCTAGAAATTCCTCAAGCAATCAGGCACCTTTTTTCTCTGTGATTTCTGGTCTATATTATGTGAGTTTTCATTTATTCCTGTAGTTGATGCCTTTTGTATTCTTTGTTACACCCATTCTATGCAACATCTATTGTATTTTAGTTCAGGCCCATCCTGTTCTGTTCCCAACCATGTTAGAGGCCAGGGATGGGCACCTACCTGTCATCAGCTGCCCAATCACCACCAGGCCCAGCTGTGTGGGTGCTGGCAGCAGTCTGGGGCTGTTGCTGAGGAGCTGGACTTGGTGCCTTTGGTAGAAGGAAGGGCCATGTGCTTTGGGTGGTGGAAGCTAAGGGGCATTGGGGCCTTGAGGTGTGAACGCAGGGCTGGGAAACAGCAGGCCCAGATGTGGGCAATGCATGTGTAGGGCTGCTGGGGTAGGACAGGACCCCCAGTCTGGAGTGAGGTGGGCAGGTGAGGTTGGTGCCAGAGTGTAGGGTGTGAGAGGCATTGTCTGTGGGGTGGCAGTGTTGTGGATGGGAGAGTATGGAGGCAGCAGGGATGGGAGTGAGAAGGTCAGGATTGGGAGGTGCAAGGTAGAAATGGGGCCTTTGGGCTTGCAGAGGGGCCTAGGGCAAGTGCCAGTGTCCTTGGGGAGAGCCAGGGTGCTTCTGTATGGGGAAAGGCAGCACCCTGTGTTCAGGTGATAGGAGTGGGGCATTATCTGAGTGGTAACAGATCAGAAGATGGTCCTGAGAGCAGAGAGACCCTGGCTAGGGGTCAGTCGTGCCCTGTTATGTTCCATCAGGGAGTGTCAGGCAGCTTTTGGAGGAGATGGGTGGCAAAGGAATGCCAGCAGCATCTGGGATGTGCTGGGAGGGAGCGCGGTGTGTGCAGCCATGGTACCCACCTCGAGGAACTGGGGGTGCTTCTTCAGCTCATGGTCGAAGATGAAGTAGTAGCTGAGGGTGCCGAAGAGCAGATAGAGGGCGAGTGCTCCAAGATTGGTGATGACGAAGAGGCTGAGCAGCTGGCGAAAGGGCTCGTCCTCAGGCCAGCCCGTGGGGTACACGTAGGGTGTGAGCAGGTGGTGGTCAGCGACCTCCAGCACCAGGTCCATGGTGGGTCTGGGGGAGACAGGCAGACAGATGGAGCAGCCTTGCTGGGTGTTCTGAGCGGAGGTTATGCAGGCAGTTGTGCTTTTATAGGCGTGTGGGGTGTTTGTGAGCTGTCAGGTGGGGCTGGGCTAAGAGATGGAAAAGTGGGGCAGTTGGGAGGAGTGAGTGGGGCTGTTTTGTGTGAGGAGAAGATGGGGGGGGCTCTGGGATCATTGGGAAGGGGTGGGAGGCTGTGCGGTCCTCATGGGAAGGGGAGAGGAGGAGGACGGCAGGATTGCCAGCCCACGGCACAAGGGAAGGGGCCCAGGAAGGCTGTGCTGGGTCAGGGGATGCAGTTAGTGGGATGGGAGCAAGGATGCAGAGGAGCGGGGCTGTGCTGTTGATGCCCGTGTGTTGATGAAGCAGGGATGGACAGGAGGCTGCCGTGGTGAGTGAGTCGGGGAGGCAGAGGGGTGCTGCCTTGGGGCCCATCCTCCTCCCACAGCACTGTGCTGGACACTGGGCTCTGCGGACCTCAGCAGCATGTTAGGTTGGCGTGGAACCCCAAAGTGCTGCGGCCGGGATCCTGCGCGGCTCTGAGCCGTGCTGCAGGAGGACACGGAGGAGGCGAAGCCGGTCCCGGTGCCCTGGGCACGGTAACGGCGCGCTCCTCGGGTGCTGCGGGGTTGACGAACCCCCGTGGGCTCCCCCGAGGCAGATCACCGTACCGGAGCCCTACGTTGGGCTGCCTCCCCCCCGTTCCCCGCTCCCACCCCGCGATCCCCCCGCATCCCGTACCTGCCGGCGGGGCCCGAGCGCGGCGGTGGGCGAGGCGGCGCCGCCCTCTAGCGCCACGTGACGTCACGGCCCCGCCCACCTCGCGCCACCGCCGCCGTGCCGTCACGCGGGGGCGGGGCGACAGAGGAGGCCGCGGGTTCGAAGCCCGGGCTCGGCGAATGGGCGGGGATCCGCGCGGAGTCGGGGCGGCGGTACCGGGTGGTGCCATGGGGCGGGCGGGGGATTCGCTCGTCTCCCGAATCCGCGCGGAGCCTTTCTGCTGTGATACCCACAGCTTCTGCTCCCACACAAGCCCGCCTGCCCGAACCCCCTGCTTAACATCGGTGCCTCCCGGCCTCTCTCCCCGCTCTGTTCCACCACGCAGGACGACGCTGCTTTACGAAGGAGTACAACGCTTTTTATTCCCACGCAGCCGTGTCACAATTTACCAACACCAGACCAGTCACCCACAGAAACGACCCCCAGCGCCGACCCTCGCCCCGACCCCCGGCACCACCCCCGTTGTGCGGTGCTCCCACCCTTCCCTCACCCCTTCTCTTCTTAAGCACGCTTCTCTCTCCCAAAAGCACTCCCCATGCCTCTCCGCTCCCCCCAGACACACGCTCAGCCCTCTGCCCCACACCCCCACCGCTCCCTTGGATGGAGATCTGAAGGATGATGAGTTCCCATGCTGTGCCAACGTCCTCCGAGCCGAGCGCGCTCCTCCGTTCCGCACCCTGCGCAGTGCCACCTACCTCTGGCTGCATCCCAGCGCTCTGATGATGACGACTGTTCTGAGAGATTGTCCTTGTCCCAGGAGGGGCAGAAGCCTCTCTGAGGGTACGGATGCTACATGTGGATGAGGCTCAGCCCATCCCCCTCTGCTAATAGAGGTGCTGCCCACCTGGGCAAAATGCTACAGGACAGAACCTGGGGAAAAGCTGCAAGCCTTGTGAGTTTCCTGATCTGCGTCGCTGTCAAAGTGCCTTCTGTGCTTCCAGTGATCATCCCTCCTCACTCCAGGTCGATTCCAATCTCTCCTATATCTGTGGGGCCGGCTCGGCAGTGGGTTTGTCGCTGGGGGTGCTGGCTGCTACCCTACAGAGACTCAGGCTGACACGAGAACAGTACATGGCTGGGCAGCAGAGCCACCCCTATGAGGTTGGGTCCTGCAGAGCCACCCACAGCCACAGCTGTGCCACCACCAGAAGACTTGCTTGGGCTCGGCTGTCTGCTGAAGAGCTGGAGGCTGCAAAATGAAAAAAGGTTACATGTATCGATGCAACAGACACTTGCAAGTTAGGTGGGACCTGCAGGCACCCCCTTCCACAGACCCCCCTGAGCTGATCACCTCTCAGCTGGGAAGCCCATCAACAAGCCACTGCCCAGTCTGCCTTGCTCCTCCGTATAGCCCTGCTCCTCTGCAGATATTGATGCGTGCTGCCAAACCCACACCGCCCCAAGCAAAGCCCCACGTGCTCCCTGTAGACTGACTGCCTGATGAGCCCTTCATGGTAAAGCAGCACCAGATTTGCAGCACTCCATGTCCGCACAGCCAAATGCCTCCATCCCACTCCAGCTAACCCAAGGCACGTGTTATCCAAGCCTCATCTCTGTCCGGATCCAAAAAAGGCTGCCTCCCCTCCTTCTCTGGATGCCAGCAGCCCCTCTGTTGCACAGATGTCCCTGCCCACCCCACACGATGACAGGGCCAAGCCCTGGTGCTTACCCCTGCAGCTCTTGCCATCCCCTTGCAGTGTCCCTGTCACACAGCTGCACAGGGGTCCATCTGCTTGACTCGTGCAGATCTGCTCACAGCCACCGTTGTCCTCACACCAGTCTGATCCTTTGTGCATGACAGATAGTGAGAGATGCTGCTGGATCCTGAGCAGCCCTCAGTTGCCCACCCAGGACGCCCGCTCCCTCCAGTGATGGGAAGGCCTACTGGAACTCCCCCATCACCTTCCAGGTCCACACTCCCATGTCCTGGCCATCTTTCCTTGCACCAAGGGGATCATCACATAAGGTGGAAGACCCGTCATGCCTGTCCTCAGGATGACACACACTTACGTTTCCTCCGAATGGGCCCCACTGACAGGATCTGCTCGTGGGCCTCGTGAGTGAAGGCGCTGGCTGACCGCCGGTGCTGGGGGCAGTTCTGCATGGAGATGTCAGCACATTTATTACTCTTGGCCACTGACCAAGCCCTCTCTACACACCCCCAACCCGGACCCCCAAGAGACCCCCTTTCCCCCCCCGACACAGCCAGGATCTTCCCACAGCAGAGCTCTCCTCCCTGCAGCCAGAGGGAGGTTCAATCCTCCCTATCTCTTCCTCAAGGCTGCCTCTCTGGCTGCCTCTTGAATACAAGCCATGCACAACATGTTCCACCTCCGCCTCAGAAAACTCCCAACCCCAGCAACCCTCAGCCTTAGCCTCCCTTACTATTTTGCAGGAGTACTTCTCCGAGTCACACAGTGAAACAGCACAGTGCAGGTGGACTTCATCGTAGTCCCCGATGAACTTGAAGACAGTGACATGGAAGCGACAGGTCAGGGACACCCCGTTCTCCTCTATGCCAATGGTGTTGTCCTTCAAGTTTTGGCACCTGCGAGCAGGAGAAAAGCTGGCCATGGTGCTTCTGTGGCCGGGACCCTCCTTTAAGCAATACTTCTTGCTTCTGTCCCTATGAGACCCCCTTGGGCAAATCTTTCAGCTATTCTCCTAGATGTCACTGTACCTATATGAGCATCATAGGACCCATGTTTCTGCACCCCTATGACACATGCCAGTTTTGGCTAGGATAGACCTAGGTGTCTTTGTAGTAGCTCCTATGGAGCTATGCTTTCCATAGATAACCAAACCAAGGCGCCTGCGGTCACTCACCCTCCCTCAATGATGAAGTAGCGCAGTTTGTCATTGCTGTCCCGTGAGGGTGTTGCATAGCACTTGTTCAGCATCAGGATCAGGTGGTTGGAGTCAGCCCCCACCACAAAGACCCCCACGTAGAGCACATCCCGCGTGGTCAGCACCACTTCCCCCTGCCGGTACGGGTGCTTGTAGGAGGAGTTCTTGTACAGGGCCATCTTGGTTGTGAAGCTTCCTTCCTGCGTTGGCACTGTCAGGTTGATCACACTAATAAAAAGAAGAAAAAAAAAAATGAGTCTTGGACCTCGCATTGGCTGTTGTTTGCATATTGTAACCTTGCTGTCCATGCACACACGTGCACTGCTTGCCCTGCTCTGACCTGAGCATTGGCCGCACGACTGAGTCCAGAGAGATCTTGATGTCCAGCTCATAGGCACAGGAAAACTCCACGTTGATGGTCCGGTCCCGGGTGATGATGTTGCCTGTGTTGTTCGCACTTTCAATCCACACCGTGTTCTTGTATACGATGTGAGTGCTGTTGGACTGCAGAAGGCAGAACGTGGCATCCCTCTAAAGTGACCGTTTCTGATCTCCCACTTGTGGCAGATGCCTCAGACCCAAAACATGTGGTGTAGCTCTGAAAATACCATTTCTCCTACCCCAATATGACCAAGGCTCAAGGCAAGATGCGTCCTACGTGCTGGCCACCTCTTGGATCCTTTCACCCTTGACAGACCACCCTATAACACACTGTGCCCTTGCTGCACTTCCTGCCCCATTGCTCCCAGGTGAGACAATACCCAGTGCCTGCAGCATCCACCCCTGGGCCCATTAGCCCATCACCCTGTCCCACCTGCACCAAGTTGCCGCAATTGCCCTTGGTGTTGTTGATCTGGAAGGAGATGAAGTCCTCGCCCTCTATGCCAGGACAGTGGCGGTCATTGACCCGTACGCCCTCGCGCTCGAAGCCCAGCTGGAACAGCTTGCACTTGGAGATGGACACCTCCATTTGTGCAGCTTTGCACGTCACCTCTGCATCAATGATGTCATGGGTGGCTAGGAGAAAAGGAGAAGGCTCATGGAACCAACAGAAAAGACACCCCGGGCCCAGATCCCCATCCCAGACATCCCTCCCAGCCCCGGGCTCACTGTTGCCGTAGGGTGGGGGCTCAATGCAGCCACACAGCTCCCCACCATCATCCAGCTCGCAGGTCCTGTTGGGGCAGTCGGCGCCAGCACAGGGGTCCTCCACCACTCCTGCTAAACAGCGCAAGACGCACCTTTACCCTTGTGCTCCGGGCCCAGTGCACTCTGAGCATCCACAGGAGCCCATCTTGCTTACAGCAATTCTCCTTCTCAATCCACTCGGTGCCCAGGATGCCGAAAGTACGGCACGCTTCACCATAGGCAGCCAGTGAGCCGCACAGCTGCACCTGCTTGCGGTTGTAGCAGCCATCCAAGAAGCAGGACTCGTAGAAGGGCAGAGGGTCCAGCAGGCCGTAGCAGGGCTGGAAGAAGCCCTTCATGTCTGTCAGCTTCAGGCAGTAGTTGTCGCTCTGCAGCTTCTGGATCTGGACGTTGTCGCAGGACGCGGCGTACTGGGAGTACTGCAGCTCGTTGCAGCTGCGGGCACCGGACACGTCGTGGGGAGGGGGTCCCCAACTGCCCAGCCCCGTGCCCCCCACCACATCCACCTCACCTCTTCTGCATGCCGTTGGTTTTCCAGCTCTGTGCCAGCACCACGCTGCTGACCACCGGCTTGCCCCGCAGCGTCGCATAGTCGTCCGCCGGGTCGCCGTTGAAGTTGCCGCACAGCCCGCACACCTTGTTCTGCAGCCGGTCTCCGATGGTGATCTTGATGACGTTGAAGCCGTTGTAGCGGATCTGGATGTCGGGGCCGGAGTCGATCACCAGGAAGCCCTCCTGGCTGTAGATCTTGGTGGAGAGTCCCGTGACGAAGGGGATGCTCACGAGGCTGCCATTCACCTGGCACAGTGGGGAGGACGCAAGGATGACATCCCTTCATCCTCCACTGGGCAGGAGCAACGCCTCCCTGCAGTCTCCACCGATGTTTTCCAGCACCCCAAGCATGCAAACACAAAACTCTGCTTTAACAGCTGCCTTTCTTAATTGCAGCGAATCACTCTGAAGTCCTTGCCTCCCTTACATGCCAGCATAAGGCCACAGTGCAAACCAGCCCATACAAACATGCATAGGCTCTAGCTCACAAGTCCTCTCCTGCTAAGACAGGCCACATGTGATGTCTCTCCACCGCAAAATCAGAATGCCCCTATGCATATTCCACATCCTCCTCTGTTTCCACCCCCAGATTCTGTGATAAAATCAAGCAAGGATAACTTTAAATAGATACAGAGGTGATGAACGCACAGCAAGATCCAGTAGATCATAGAATCACAGAATGGCTTGTGTTGGAAGGGACCTTTAAGATCATCCAGTTCTAATCCCCTGCTATAGGCAGGGACACCTCCCTCTAGACCAGGCTGCTCACAACCCCATCCAGTCTGGCTTTGAGGGGGCATTCACAGCCTCACTGGGCAATCTGTTCCAGTGTTTCACACCCTTACAGTAAATAATTTCTTTCCAATATCTAGTCTAAATCGACACTCTTTCAGTTTAAAACCACTGAACATTTCTATATAAGAACTAAGCCTTCCCTACAACTTCTGATGATGATGTACTACCGTAACTAGTGTTCCAGCCATGTAAAAAGACAGAGTCCATTAGATACTGACGCTGAGAGCAGTCCCCTTCTATTTAGGTGCCAGTGTTCTCCAAATTTTCTTAATTACTAAGGCAGACTACATGATGGTTTCTGCAGGATTATATTACACTGGCATGATTATTCCCTTGGATCTGTGTCCCTCTCTCACCCAGGGGTTGCACGAGATGATGAGCACAGTGATGGGCACTGGCTCACCCCGCTCCATCAGACCACCTTGCCTCCCAACATTCCTCTCAACCTGGCCAATGTCCCAGCCCAGCACAACAGAGAGCGGCTGCTGGTCTCACATGAAGCTGCTTCTACCGCTATGACCAGCAGTGTCACAGGAGGAGATGGCCCCCAACCTCAGCAAGACCTCACCTTAACTGTACTCCTGTCACTGATGAGGATCTGCTCCTCGTTGATGTAGAAGTACACAGGGGAGATGACGGTGAGGTTGGGCGAGGACCACTTGTCGAAATTGATGATGAGCTGGAAGGAGAAGTCGGGCAGCTTCTGGCAGATGGTGGACAGCACGAAGGCGCAGTTGGCGGGGAAGCGGAGGAAGGCGCCGTCGAAGGTGCGGAAGACGCCGCCTCCCGCCGCCAGGCAGAAGGAGCTGCGTGTGCTGAAGCAGCCGCGCACGCCGTTGCGCGAGGCGCACTCCTCGTCCGACTTGCAGTGCCGCGGGTCGCACTGGATCAGGTTGCGCCGGAAGCAGCGGCACCGCCGTGTGCAGTCCCCGTTCCAGAAGAGCTGCTTGGGCTGCAAGAGCAAGGGGCGGCGGGTCAAGGGGTGGGAACCTCTGCGAGGCCCGCTGTGGACATTCTGCATGGATTTACTCGCTTTCTCCATGTAAAAAGGGAAATCGGGTGATGATGACTGAGCAGAGAGCTCAGTACACACTGAGCAACTCTCCGGAACAGAACCAAACTTGCAAGCAACGGATAAGCCTCTAGAGTGAGCCCTACAGTGAGCACGAGTCCAAAGTGGGCGAGCAAAGTGGATGTGCCCAAGCATCTCAGCACAAAACGAAGCAAGTGACTGCAGCTACAGGGAAGGGCTGCACTAATCTCAATGCACTGAGGACCAGAAGGGAATCTTGCTGTAAATGTGCATCATGCAACCCACTGGTTGTGTAAAGCCCTTCATCAAAATAATACCAAGAATGTATTTTCTTCCTGAGACCGGTGCAGACATCAAACCTACCTGCTTCCAACCCAACAGACAACAGGAACATGAACGTCTGACAAAGGAAATGTGGAGGATGGCAATGGCATCTAGCTTTCTTCAAGCCACTCCTTCCTCAAAACAGCACTATAACAGTATCCTGCACCATAACAGTAATCCTGCCTCTGCGCTGCCTCTGTCCTTTGGGATCCCATGATGCATTACAACTGCTGTACTGTGGTGCGGTGGTGATTAATGCATCACACTGATAGATCAGAATCTCAACGAACATCACATGGTCACAAGTAAGTAGATTTCATAAGCAGCACTATGCTCACCGCATGCACAACAACATGGCTGCAAGTGCTGAACATCCCTGCTCACCAATCCCCTGTCCCAGCATCCCAGCACACTCTCCCAAACCATCCTCACCCAACAACCACACGATGAAGGATGTATGATGTGCCAGAAATGACTTTGCTCTCCTCTGTCCCCCTGGGCCTGCTGGCACCCTGTCATATCCTGCCCTTGTTTTTTGCTCATCTTGAGTCACACAGAACCCTGCATGGGGAGGTCAGTGTTTCCCATGCAAGCCCTGCTTTGATCCTTAGACCCTTCACCACATACCATGGTGACCAGGCACAGCGTGACACCCTACAACGCATCCCTGGATCGCACATCCCAATCAAGGATCATCACAAAGGGTTACAGTAAAGGCACCGAGGGAAGAATGCTCCCAGCATACCTCATAGTATTTGCCATCAGAGTAGCAGCCGCAGTTCTGGGGCAGGATGCAGCTCTTGCCATTCAGCACGTAGCCAGGGTCGCACTGGCAGCCCTCCACGCAATAGTGGCCGCAGTCGCTCTTCAGGCGGATGGCAGCACAGCGGGGCTGGCACAGGGACACACAGCTCTCATAGTGGCTGTTGGGGGGACAGCTGACAGCTGCAACGGGAGGGGAGAACACGAGGGAGGTGTATTAATTCCCTGCAGATTAAGGACTTCTCCTACCTGCTCCTTCCAGCCATAATCTCACGGGGAATCATCACAGATTATTGTGTACTGGGAAGGTCATACTGGGATTATTGAGTCCTACTGCTGGCACACAAAGACTGTGTCTTGATGCATACAGTGCACAAACCCTTGTTGCTGTCTGCTGCCATGCTACTGGTCACTCCTGCTGACCCACATGCTGAGTGACAGGGGTGCTCCTGGTGGTCCTATGGACTCCCAGATAGCATGGGGACACGTTTCAGTGTATGTGCCACTGACAGCTCGCCTTGGCCACTGCACACCCAAAGGTGCCACCAGCTCACCAGGAACCATGTGGGGCAGGGACATGGGATGTAGGCACGCAGCAATGCTGCCCCTGTGCTGCTGTAACAATTCCTCCAGAGCTGTGAGATGGTTTGTTAGGAGGAAGAATGACATAAATTTAATTTTTGGTCTTGTTACTGATAGCAATTACTTCCCAGCTGATTTGCCAGATAGAGCGGCTGCCAGGGAGACTCATGACTCCCACCCTCAGGAACCTAATTGAACGCTGCAGTGTAATCTCATTGACAATAGCAAGCAACCTCATTAGAGGAAACACTGTTGGCTGCAAAGCTCACAACTAAAACTCCTGAGGAACAAATTCAGCTGCATGTACCTGCACCACTGTGGCCCTGGCGTGCCCCTGGTCAACTCTGACATGGTGCCACTGCCATGACGTTGACACTTCCATTGTCCAGGGGCTTCCAATTGACCACCTTTCTATATTAGTGATCAAACTGAGGACTCAGATCTGGCCAGAGGGCTAAATAAGAGCCTGCTGGCAGGGCAGCACTTACAGCACGAGGTGAAGTTCCTCCAGCCGATGACGGCGATGCCCTGCGTCTGGCACGTGCTGGCATAGTTTTGCAGCCAGCCGCAGGCTGTCTGCATGGCTCCCCCGTCAACGCACGTGTCAAAGAGGCAGTTCTTGTAAAAATAGCTGGGGTTGATTTTGCTGTGGCACTTGGCGAAGACACCGCTTTGGCTGGGAATGAGGCTGCAGAGCTGCTGGGGTTTCCAGAAGCCTTCTACTTTGCCACAGGCTGGGCAGCGGTCGCCACAGCCCACCCGACAGAAGGTGTCCCGCTTGGCCCAGCTCTGCACGAAGTCAGTGATGCCAAAGGCAGGCATGCCACCCGCAGCCACCAGGTCATCGTCAGGGTTGCCGTTGTAGCGGCCGCAGAGGCCGTAGGTCAGGTTCTGGAAGCTGCGCGGGATGGTGACGGAGAGGAAGGTCTTCCAGTCGTACACCACCTTCAGCCCAAAGTCGGTCTCCACCACAATGTGGAAACCAAAGGCGAAGATGTTCACTTTGCCCTGGCCCAGCTTCAGCGGTAGGTAGAGCCTTTCGTTGTTGATCTGTGGGGAAGGAAATGAGACAGCAAGATTTTGCGCTTAGGGAAACCACCTGTTGCTCCAGGAGCCACAGCTGGGGTGGGAAGGTATCACCCCTCAGCACCGCCCGACCCTCACGGCCCCACTCACCATCACTGTGTACTTGTAGGCACGGTGAATGACAATGTTGTAGTTGAAGACCTCCACCTCCACTTGCTTCACCCACAGGGCCAGGGAGGTGTCACGATCCTCGTTCTTGGCAGTGACAGTGAACGTGGGGAAGGTGTCTGACCGCTCTGCACGCGGCCGTGAGATGGTGGTGCACAGCACCAAGGCACAGCTGCTCTGGAAGTCGAACGAGAAGCCATCAAACGTCAGGTAGTGCCCATAGCCAGAGACGATGCAAGAGGCATCAGTGCGGACGTGGCAGTAGTAGAGGCCGTTCTCTTCTAGGCAGTACTCATCGTCCTTGCAGGAGATGTTCTCGCAGTACACACTGTTATCTGAGCCATTGCAGTAGCAGAGGAAGTGGCAGGAGATGTCCATCCAAAAGGTCTGGTTGGTGGCCAGCTGGCGGCCCTCAAAGTTGCAGCCACACTCACCGCGGGGCACGCAGCGGGAACCACGCAGGGCAAAGCCCTCGTCGCACTGGCAGCCCTCTGTGCAGGTGTCCATGCAGACAGGGCCCGTGGCTAGAGTCTCACAGGTCTCCACGCAGCTCATGCACTCCTCAAAATGGCTGTTCTCTGGGCACGCCAGGGCTGGGAGCATTAAATGAAGTATGTGAGTTAGCAGCTCCCGCAGCCATGGCGCAAGGAGCACCGAGGTGGGGTACAGACAGAAGGTGGACATGAGGTGAATACCGACCCACTCAATATAAATGGAGAACTAGTCCTAGCAGCCTGCCTGCCACTGGTATTCCCACTCCCTCGGTTACTCCTACTCCTCTCTGCCACCTCCCCCCTCACATGCCGAGTGATGCCACCTCCTGCCAACCCAAAAAGGACATCCTGCTTCCCTCTTCCAGATGGACACCCCACTTAAAAATGGATGCCCCAGTCCCAAAGGGATGCCTCTCTACACCTCGCACAGCAGAGACGTGGGCTGCCTACTCTGTATAGCCATGCTGGAGATTTTTCACATTCGCTGCTGAATTATGAATGTTTTCCCATCAACAGTAAGTTTACAGCCACAGTTAAAACATGCTATATTCAAATTATCCTCTGGTGATGGCTTACTGTACTGTCAGCCACCATCTGCAGCCCTGGAACGCTCCTGCACCGCATCGTAAACCTCCTTGTGTCTCCTGAAACACCATCACAAAACTGCTTAATGGGGAAATCTGTCTCTGTGGGCAAAGGTGTCACTTAGAAACTACCAGTGATAGGTGAGATGAAGTATCCTCGTCTTTGGGTCATGCTGTGGTCTCACTATGCACTGGTCACCTGCTGGCTTGCCCTTCCTGATACGAGTGAGCTCCTGACCGTGGTATGGCACAAGCTTTGCAAATCCTGCCTTGCAAGTGAAACAGCTGAGAGACTTTTGGTATGCGAGCAGAATGCAGCCTCTCTCCCTTTGGTGTGCTACTGAGGAGATGCTTTGTATGCCTCAGTCTCCATTGCTGAGGATGCCTCCGTTGGATGTAGCTCTTTTGATGACACCAACCTCTGTGGTAGCCAACAGAGCAAGAAAACAGCTCCAGTTTATGCCCACCCACTCCTGTGATTTCAGACTTCTATAAATGCTGTACATTCTGTGGTGCTGTTTTGCTCCCAGCAACCAATAAGGTTGGGGTGCCTCTTTTAAATGCTTTTCAGTTTTGTTTCATTACGAGGTACACACCAGCGACAAGGCACAGGGCAAGGTCCCATAAAAAATGGGGACCGACCTCTGAACACCCATGAGCTCCAAGAAAAAGACCCATGCCAAAGCAGAGGGGGCTACATCTCCTCCTTAGCGCCCCAGATACTCAAAAGCTTTTGTAGACTCACGGCAAAAGCTGTGGCTCCTCCATTGGCCGACGTCCACCTCGGCGTTCTTGCAGGCACTGGCATAGCGCGCCACTGCATCGCACAGCTCCGACTGGTTGCCTCCGCTCTGGCACAGGTGGAAGAGGCACGTTCTGTAGTAGGCTGAGACGTTGACCACGCTGTGGCACTCCAGGAAGGAGCTGTTGGTGGGGTCATTGATGATGCCGCAGTTGGAGCGGCTCCGGTAAGTCTTGAGCAGCTCTGAGTCATTGTTGCACGCCTTGAGGAGGTCCCCACACTCCCCGTTGCAGATCTCATCGAACGTCGTCCAGCTCTCCAGGAAGAGCTCCAGGTTGTCCGTGCACTTGCCCTTGGGCGTGCAAAACTCGTCACTGGCATTGCCATTGAAGAAGCCACACAGACCCCCGGTGCAGTTGAAGTAGGTGGTGGAGAGGTGGATCTCCAGGAGGCCTGAATCGTAGTAGCCAATGCTCAGGAGCCCCTCTGACTCCGTCATGGTGCCGTTGTCAGTGCGGTAGATCTCCAGGTGGCCAGAAGGGTGGAAATATGGCAGGTCCACATCATAGCCATTCACCTGCAAGGGAAGGCATTAGTAAGGGCAACGTGACTCTGCAAGGTGGTCCCGCCTGCACCACGACAGGAAGGCTAAACCTGGCCTCCACCCTTGAAGGCTGGGAATCTCCTTCACATGGCAGGATGCAGTAACTTCCTTGCATTTCATTCGAAGAGCAAATTCAAGCAAGAGTAAGCTAGAGGAGAAAACAGCAGCATTCAGAAAGCCTCCTGATTTGGCTTGGCAAGCAAATAGGAATAGCAGTGCTACAAGGCAGGATGGCCATGGACAGATGCAACCCTACATTAAATCCTATGGTACAGACACTATGGTATTGCCTTCTCCTCTACCTTGATGGCAGCTGCTCCATCTGCTCCCAATGAAGCCTGGAACTTAAGGCTGCCTCACCTGACTGCATCCTTCCTGCATCCTGCACCACTGCTCACTGTTAATAAATGCTTGGCAAATAGGAAATAGCTGGGAATTTTAGCAGGGGTTCCAGTTAACAGTTTGTGACAGCACAGCATTCTGTCTGCTCCACTGTGGCTGTCTTGGCTTGACAGGACAAAGAGCAAAACCTCAGCTGCAAAACAGAGTAAAAATGGGTATGGCTAGGATTCAGAAAGCATGGAGACCTTCAATGTTGGGGTACTCCTTCTTTTCCACAGCTATTTTGCTGACTATAGCCACTTGTATTTCAATCAAAATACAAGTGTTTTCAAGATATCTTCTGCTTTCCCCTAGCTCTTTGGTGTGGAGGGTTTGCATGATCTGGGTTGTGAGAACAGGATCTTGGTGAGCACCTGTGGTCTTCTCACCAGTGCTGGCAGCTGCTGTGAAGTCTATGGGATGGGGACCATGGGTGGATGCAATCCCAGTCCTTTTACCTCTTGCCTTGGATGTGAGAGATGAGTAGACTTTGACTCTTGTGATGGCTCTGATCTCAAGGAACACTCCGGAGCCATACACCCGTAAGCTCTTCTCCACGGGGACACCGTGGCATGGCACAAGCCTATGCCTCCCACCTTGGTGACTGCCTTACCTTGACCTCCGACAGGCTGGCTCCTCCGACCTTCACCTCCTGGCCAACCACCTGGATCCGCACGACACGCAGCCCATTGGGAGCGTATCCCGGCTTCTTCTGGCTGATGTCCACCTCGATGAAGTCAGGCTTCTCCAGGCAGGTTTTGAGCAGCGTGTAAGAGTGCTCCAGCGGGTAGGGGAAGGTGACACCGTCAAACGTCCGCAGCACCTGGTTCTGTCCCACTGAACACAGGCCCTCCCGCTTCGGGTAGCAACCCCGGTAGCCATCCTCAATGGTGCAGACCTCTCCTTCGGGGCAGCTGGTGTTGAAGCACTTGGCCTCCCCGCCATCCTCGCACTGGCACTCTGCTGTGCAGTTTGCTGTTGCCCAGAACACCTCTCCGATGGCGTAGTACCGTCCATCCACGTCACAGCCACACTTCTGCACAGGGATGCAGCGGTCGGCGCTCAGCACATGGCCATCGTCGCACTCACAGCCCTCGGTGCAGGGTGCAGTGCAGCGCAGTGGGGCTGTCAGGTCTGAGCAGGTGGCAGGGCAGCCACTGGCACACACTGAGTAGTGGCTGTGCTCTGGGCACTGCACAGCTGCCTCTGCAGGTGCCAAAGGGACACAAACAACAGGATGACCGTGTTACCATGTGGTTCTGAGCTAGGGACCTCAACCTAATAAGCCACACCATTGTAAAATGACCCAGCATTCCCACTTTACGGTAGACTTGGATCTTCCATTTCTCACCCACGCCTTGTTGGCCATTCTTAATGCAAGCAAAAACTCCTCTGAAGCAGCCCCTGCACCACTGAGCCTCCTGCAACTATTTGCTACCCAAAGCAAGGAGGGTGCACTGACCAGCATACTGCTAGCCAGCCCCAGCTCGGGTGCAGGCTGTTAGCACAGCAGCCCACTGCTCACACGGCATCCCTGAGTTCCCCCCTCTTGCCTGACTCTTGCCACCCATTGGCTATCATGAAACTCTCACACTGCAGACAAGAAGGACCAAGTGGCTTTCGCCAGAACCCCTCTACCTCAGGCAACATCATTCCTTTCATTTCCCTCATTCTTTTGTTTCTCCCATTTACATGGTCCCCCATCCCGGCTCTCTCCCACACCAGGACCTCAGGCAGACTCCACAGCTTGCCCCCAGCACCAGCACACCCACACTTACCGCATCCCGTCTGGGCACGCCATTCTCCCACCGGGATGCCCAGGCCTTGGCACACCGCAGCGTACGCCTGGATGGCTTGGCACAGCCCGGAGCCGTTCTCCCGGGCGCTGCACAGATCATAGACACAGCTGTGTACGAAGGCAGTGGGGTCCATGACGGAGCCGCACTCCCACAGCGGCCCGCCGCTCTTGTTGAGGAAGCCGCAATATTCAGAGGAGAAATAGAGGGATTCGGTGGAGGCGTCGCAGACGCTGCAGTTCTCCACGCAGCCAGGTGAGCACTTCCTCTCGGGGTGAGGCACTCGCCAGCTCTCGCCCAGTTCTGGCACGGAAGAGGCCAACCTGCCATCCGAGCGCAGCGCATCGTCCTCGGGGTCTTTGTTGTAATTCCCGCACAGACCGCACGTGCCATTGATGTACGTGCCAGGAACGGAGATGGAGGCATAGTGTTGGCCATCGTAAGTCACCAGCAGGCCAAAATCAGTCTCCAGGGCTGTGGACAAGCCGCTTTGGTAGACTTTGATTGCGCCCAACTCCAGGGAGATGGGTAAGGACACCACCAAGTCATCCACCTGTGGGAACATGAGCAGAGGACTGAGCCACCGTGGAAAAAAGCTGAGGCTTCACGTGAGGGGTATAGGACCCCACTGCAGGGCCTTATGTTTATAGATGGGTGACATGATCTAAAGTGGTCACAGCATGGGTTGATGGTTGGACTAAGATGGTCTCAGTTGTCTTTCCAACCCTAATGATTATATGATTCCAGGAGAAGGCTGGCCAGACCTCAGGCCTCGGCTGACCCATGGCTTTGCTGTCATGCCTTCCACCCTTCCCAAGGAATACACAAGACTACTGTCAGGATCTCGCCATCAGGACCAGACCTGGCAAGTTCCAGCTGTTCAGTGTAGCTCTTACCTTGGCTTTCCCAAAGCTGCCCTTCGGGAGGACGATCTTATGCGAGTAGACCTCCACAAAAATGTCCCTCAGCCAGGAGACGGAGGAGCCGCCTCGGTTCTCATTCTTGGCCTCCACGTTGAAGTAGGGCAGCTGGGAGCCTGGCCAGCACTGCCTGGCGAGGAGGTAGGAGCAGGAACCCTGGAAGTGAAAGAGGAAGCCATCGAAGGTGTGGTAGTGCGGATCTCCGAACACCACGCAGGTGCTGCTCTCCACAGGCACGCACTGGAAGAACTTGATCTTCGGCTCGCATGCTTCGAATGGGCCGCAAGCCATCTCCTGGCAGAAGATCTCATTGTTGAAATCCAGGCAGCGGCACTTGGTGCTGCAGTTTGAGTTCTCCCAGAAGATCTCGCCTTGATGGAGAAACTGTCCTAAAAAGCATGGAAAAGAAATAAAACACTTACATTGGAACTCCATCCACAGCTAGAGGCACAATGTCACTCAGTCAGTCACACAAATCTTGGGTTTGCTTCTGTGACCTGCAGAGAGAGCTGGTGGCTCTGCAGCTGCTCTGGGGAGAGCACTTCAACACCAGCACTGTGCTTGTGTGCCACCGTGCTTGTTAGCTTTGCCCTTTTTCCTATAATAACTCTCTTCAAGTGGCTTTGCCCATCAAGGAGTGCCTCTGTCATCAGAGGTTAAGAGACAATTCATTTCCGATCCAAAAGAGCTCACGATACCTAGGGAATCAAAGATCTGCTGATGAGTAACTTCCTATCCGTGCATAGGTGATGATGGGAACCAAGGAGGGGACGCTCAGCCCGCTGTCAGACAGAGGCTCTGTAAGGGAGGCAGGTTTCCCTGGTGAGAGACGTGAGCAGCAGAAGACAGGCAAAGGGTGGCAGACGTCTTGAGAGATTCCCTCTCCTCCATATGGTTGACTTTCACACCTCTCTTTCAGGCGGATGTGTGAGCTGCCTGCTTTACCTCTCCTAAACTTTTTGTGCTCTTCCATGCCTCCAAAAAAAAACAAAAGACAAAAACCCATTTCCCAACTTCTTGCAACAAACAACAGCTCTTCTTAGGCTCAGCAGCTCCTGCATCAGCTGTCCTGGTGCATGGAGTTTTGCCAAATGAGCTCTGTTATGCATGGCGAGCCTCATCATCTCCAGCATCTCATGGTTCATCGCCTCTTGTGAGAGCAAGCAAGCAGATGCTGGGACACACAGACCTTCTGGTGGGATGTGCACACTGCCCTCGAGGCTGGAAGCAGAGGCTGGCTTTGGCCCCATTCTGAAACCCGGCCTTTCTTCTTCTGGTGGCAGCTGGAAGCTGTTAGGGTGGTGGGAATCTAAGCTTCTCTTGGGCTGAAAGAGCCTTTGGGGTGTGCAGGTCTCCTTTGGTACGATTCTAAGTGTTGCCTGTGAAGAAGTCAAATATCCCAGCACGGTGTGACAGCATTTAGCAGCAGGTGACAACCTGCTTGTTGTGCAGACTCCCAGAGCACAGTACATGTTCCTGATAAATTTTATTTGCTCAGTGGCAATGCCTTTATCTCTCCACACCACAGTCCTTGTTCTGTTTCTCTGTGCATTTCATCCCTCTATATCTCCACAGCAGAGCTGACGCACATGCAGACACTGTAATTGGTGCAGGGTCATGGAATTTATCCTGCTCAGAAACCTATGATTCTTCCCACAGAAAGAGAGGACGTGAATCATGGAATCATAGAATCACCAAGGTTGGAAAAGACCCACAAGATCCACAAACATGGGATTATTCTGACAGCTTTTCCCATCCCAGGGGCAAGAGGACAAGACTGTCCCCAGGTGCTTCCCATTGTCCCTATCAGCACTGCAGAAATTAGTCAAGATGATGGCCTGAGTGGTATTTGACTGCTGCAAACTGACCAGCCTTTAACATCACAGGTCTGGACAGCAGAAATGAAAGCTTTTAACAATGCGTTGCTGATAAATCTGCAGGGATGCAACAAAGCCAGCACCAATGACAGCTTTGTTTGCTGGTGGTTGGAAATGGCACAGTGCTCCCAGTGCTCTATCAGCCCCCCTGTTTTCTCTGAGCTGCCCACTCAGACCTTGTCTGCCTTGGCAAAACCACACTTGTGCAGCCCAGGGCACTCAGGCTGCAGGACCTCTTGCTCTTCTACATCCCACAACATGTAAGGCATCACCACTCCTCCCTTACCTCTCAGGCTGCAGCCATTGGCTGGATCTATTTCTCTGCCATCTATTTTGAAAGCCCAGCGCCCCGGGATGTTCACGTTGGTTGTTTGCTCTATATTGACTATGTCTGGGGTTCTGGAGCCTGGGATGCTGAAGAAGTTGCTGATATTTCCACCGTTGAAGCCAGCCTAACATGGATAGAGAGCAGATTCTGTCAGGTATCCTGCTGCAGGAAAGCAGCTCTGCAGTTCTGTACCTCCCTGCACCCTGCAATGATTTCCAGGCATGCTGTGTTAATGGGGCTTTTCAGGAATCTGTTTTCAGGTAGTTTGGATGCAAGTGAAAACTCCACAGGCACTACAAGCAGAACAGATCTCTGCTTACATATTTATGCACATATAAATGCAAATATGTGCTCCTGGGCATGGCTAAAGCCCAGAAGGGACAGTTCAATGCCTGTAGCCTTTAAGACACATCTCAGCAGCACATTTTTGGCAGATGGGGTAGCTGTGGCATGGCTGCTAGCACCAAATTCTGCCGTGCCCATCTACAGTACCAGGGGTGCTGAAGGGACAGGAGACACAAGGAAGCACAGGTACATTAGGAAAGCTGTGGGCAGCCATCCGAGAGCTGGAGAGGGAGCAAAAGCCTCACCTGGGCCATCACCCCACCGAGCCCAGTCAGGGGGTCCCCTCCGCTGGCCGTCCCCGTGGTCCAGCTGATCTCTTGGTAATTAAATATGGCAAAGGATGACACCCCGTCGGTGATGAGAACAGCTTGAAATGTGTTCACCTGGGAAAGCACCAACAGATGCACAAAGTGAGGCTGCTTTTCTCCCGCTGCCCACCCTTGTGCCACCCGCGCCCTGGGGGACAGCAGGAGCACCATGGTGCTGTGCAGTAGGAACCAAATGAGACCCAACACACAGTGACCCCAACCATTCCATCCCCTCCCGTGCTTCAGTCTGGGGAAATCACAGCGCTGCTCCCCATCCAATTCTGTGCCAATAGATGGCAGCAAGAGAATAAGCTTGTGTGAGACCAGCAGCCGGCTGCTATGACCCGTTCTCTCCCATTACCCTCTCTTAGCTCTATTTCTCGACATGTTATCTTACCCAGCTCCCTTCAGCATTCATATTCCACAATGCGATTAACGGTGCGTTGCAGCCGAGGCAGCCATGTACGTTATGTGTTTGGCTTGGCTGCCACTTCCCATCACTACCTGCTCAATCTGTCCTTCCTTTCACTTGAAATGACTCTGCATTTCCAGCCCCAAACACTCAGACAAAATCAGGCCCCGTGCAAGAAGGACACACTTTGCTGGCTGGGAAAGCAGCATAAATCCCTGCTCCTTACATCTACACTTATACAGACAGAAGGTGCCTGTACTCTGCATGCTTTCTCCATGCAGCAATCTCCCACAGGATCCCTTCAAACACAACTGTTTATCTCAACCACACAAACTTCCCAGTTTGGCACTTGTGGCCAAAAACGCATTGGGCACCCATGCCATACAAATATGCCATCAGAAACCACATGCTTTTGCTCCGTGGCCACCAAGAGACTGGAGAAACAACCGTGCCCCCGAGGCCACATTCCCCAAATTGTTTTCTGCAGCTTTTCTGCATTGCGATGAATTTCCTGCTGAAGTTGCATTGCGTTGCTCTGCATGCCAACCCAGAGCCTTGGCCACTATCGAGCAGGAATGCTGCTCTGTACCAAAATAAATTGCATTGTGTTGCAAATGTAATTCTTCAGGCAATACACGAACCTCTATATTGCTGGCTGTCTGCAAATATATGTGTGTGTGTGTGTTTTTTTCCTGCAAGAGCTGCCAGGACTGGCACAAAAATATGCATTACATCTCGAGCCTCTCTAACAAATGGAAAAGAGCTGAACGGCTTATCGAAGCCAACTTCTCGAGACAGAAGCAGCCAACTTCTGGCACTTGCAGCGTGCAAACAAATACAAAAAGTCCATTTCCCCAAACGACGGCAGGGAGTCCTCACACACTGCCTGCACCCCAATCTCCTGTAGGATGGCGCAGACCCCACAGTGGCAGCTGTCACAGCTTACAGCAATTTAAATGGCATTCAAGCTGGGAAAAACACTGCACTGCCATCCCCATGGCCATGGCCATCCCCAGGGTCAAGCCCATGGCCATCCCTACGTTCATGGCCATCCTCACAGCCAGCACCATGCATACCACAGCTGTTGCTCTTACCGGCGTCGTGCTGCTCCCCCCGTAGAACGTCACCTCCTCCCAGGTGACGACGAAGACCCAGGTGGCAGAGAAGGATGCCATGTCCTTGAAGTACTTGCGGATGTCCTTGGAGGCTCTGCCCAGCAGCTCGGGGTCGGTGCTCTCGCGGTAGTAGATCTCCCCACGGATGCCATTGTGCACGTCGGCCCAGAAGGGCGCAACGAAGGCCCGGCCATCAGCCAGTGGGAAAGCTTCAGGTGTGAACTGGCTGACCAACGAGTTGAAGGAGATGACGCCGTTGTTGTTCACCTGCCCGAGGAGATGGGGTCACTGGAGAGAGCCCTAAGCAAGCTGCTGGCTCATCACAAAACATGGAGTGAGAGTTTTGTGGCAGGGGATGGTTTGTAACGATGGCAGCTCATGAGAGCTCCTGGCCAGATGGACTCATAAAACCCCAGGCAGAGCAAAACCTTGGGAAGTCTGCACAACCAGGCTCCTACAGACCAGTGGAGGACACATCAGAATGCCATGCAGGCTGGCACCCAGCTCAGCTGGGATCTGCCTCTGGTCCCTGTGTGCACCCAGCCTTTGAGAGCTGGCTGTACGGCTGGGTAGCTGCAGGGCAATGGATTATTATGCCACAGCATGTGCAGTGTGTGCCCCAACCAGCAGCCAGGATGGATGGGGCTTTGGGCAACCTTATTTAGTGAGACTTATGGCGCTTTAGCAGGCCTTGGAGTTAGGCAGTCTTTAGGGTCCCTTCCAACCCAAACCATTCCATGACCCCATGATGCATTTAGGGACACACAGAGAAGTGCTCACCCCTGACAGCCCACTCCAGGAGCCCTCCCAGTGCCAGTTGTCACTGCTCTGCCATTTGAGCACGGCAGCATCCCACCCTTGACTTAGGCACCTCCACACAGCTCCAAACCACCCTTTATTTTTTCCTATGGGTCTCTGCATGTTCTCGTTTCTTGTCATGGAACAGGAATAATGTTCCTTGTGTCAAGCCCTGAGCTTCGTTGTACCATTTAATCACCTACAAAAAAAATTTATTGCCTTTTATATTCCTTCCCCATGAACATTAGCCCATTAACTATACCTTTGACTTTCTTAATCATAAAACCTATCAGTTCATGAAATCTAAGAACTTGTCAGGTGGGTGCTAATAAATCTTCCCACTCTTGACGACAGCAAGAGCGCGTTTAACGTGCAGCCAAATGACAAAGAAAAGAATAAAAGGAAAGTCTGTTCTCCACTTACATAAACTGTCCTGTATGGGGCTCCAAAGAAGATGAACGGAACAGAGAGCTTGATCTCAGGAGAGCTCCCATCATCCACTTTGGGCGTTTTTGTGTCGTTTGGCCAAAATGGGTACAGACTTGCCATGGCGTGAACTGCAAAGAGAGGGGTTCAGTGCTTACAGGGACCCGTCCTAGTTTTGGGGAGGGCACACTGGGGCACCCAGCAAAAGCCTTCATTGAGCAAACAGAGATTTAGATGGGCTTTCTTTCCCCTCCTCCTCTCTTTGATGTAGAAAAGCAGCACACAGCCCTTGTGACATTCGAGCAGAGCTAAAGGGAGCCACAATGCTTCCAAACAATCCCAGCTCTGTTTACCTCAGTTTGGAACATGCTTTTATTTCCCAGGTCCTAACCTGCACCTCTCAGAGGCCCCTGGTTGCAGACAGCCTGCTCACAGGTCTTGGTTACAGAAATGGGGCTCTGTGGTGCCTGAGCTGGGGATGCTGTGCTCGGCAGCCCCAAGGTGCACTGCTCAGAGGCACCAGGGATACTCAACTACACAACCCCAAGGATGTTCCCTGCTTGAGGCTGCCTGACAGTGTCACCAGTGAACCCCTCCAACCCACTCTGACCTGACGGAGACAAGGGCAAACCTGGCCTCACCCTACTGGCACCCTAAAAATGCTCTGAGTTCCTTGGGATCCTGCATTCAGCCTCACACCAGATTGCTGCTCATCCAGTTTATCATCTTCTTGGCACTTGTTGGCCATTGGGAATTCGTCATGGTCCCATTCTGTACCACAGCAAAAGCACAGCCACCTCCATATGTGCACTCAGATGCATGCACTATGCATGCTCACTTAGGTGATGTGCTTAGAGCAAAGCAGAGCTGCTGGGATTGCTGTAACTATCAGCTTTGCCAACTTCACATTCCCAGCAGCACGGCAGCTCCTCATTTAACCTGCACTAATCTTGCTTCACTGCTCCCAGTGAGGCGAGAGCCATTTGTGTGGGCAGGAGGTTCATTGCCTCAGTGCACTCTGTCACCACTGCACAATTGGTGCCTGTGCTCCCACCCCTCCAGACCCAGGGAAACACTGTTTGCTGTTACACTCTGACCAAGGAAAACAGGATGTTTTTGGGGGCAGTTTTGGGGCACAGGGGAGCCGCACTGACCTTGGTGCCGCATGGTTACCACCAGCAGGGCTGCCCAGGCACTGAGCAACGATCGTGGGTTCATCCTAGAGGGCAGAGAGAAATCCAAACATGCATCACTTCCAAAGGAAAGCGCATCCCAAGTGATCCATCCCAGCACTGCAGAGGGTCCCTCAGGCATCAAGTAGATCCAAACTGCCTACTCTGTTAAGTGCCTTACTGAGCCCATCCCACTGCTAATGGCTAACGGCCCTGCAGGTCTTGGCAGAGCGAGCTGTCACTGCGTGGAGGAGCTGCAGCACTGCAACGTGTTGCCCCATTTCACCCTGTTGTTCAGAGGCAATTCCTGCCTGATCTGCTCCACAATCACTCAGCTCTTCGCACTAGAGACGCCAACACTTACACAGCTGGGCAACTTCATGCTGAACAAGAATCAATGACAGAAACAAGCAAATACAAGGCTAGGAACAGGAAAGCAAACTCCTCTGCCAGCTCTAATTCCTCCCGTGCCTAATGCAATTTGTTAGTCATTATTAATCCAATAGAAAATATCACTAAAACACCTGCTTTGATTTCTTCGCCTGTCTCTCTGGCTTTCTGCACATAGCAGGGCTTGCAGGAAGGCACCATGCTGTAGCAGCATGCAAACAGCTTCACACTGCACCTCTACCTTGAGTACACCCTGAGCTTCTACAGCAGCCTCCAGCATGTCTCTTCTTTGTACATCCCCATGCACTTCAACTGCGTGCACCCAGTGGCCACGGAAGGTCTCTGTATGCTCTCCCTATAGGTTTATTTCTATATCGTACCAAGAGCTCCAGTTACTTTAATTATCCCCACATACATGTGCCATGCACAGCACAGCTCTATAGCAAGCAGGGGATGTGTCACCACCTGTCCCACACCGCTCCTGTTCGTCCCCCATTGCCAGGAGCAATGGCACAGATGTGTCCCACGTTCCAGTGGTCAACTGTGTTGGCCAAAATCCCCCTTACCCCATGTTGAGAAAAATTTGTTCCACCGGAGCAGAGTATTACTTCATTCCCTATCTATCTTGGAAAGCTGAAAGCAGGACAACAGGATTTTATAGCTATTGTAAATCAGAGCAGCTGTGGGTTTATTAGCAGCGATGGGGAAGACAACAGTACAGCAGCCCAAGCACAAGAGCAGCACTGCTTGGGAGCAGAAAATCCAGGACAGGTTACTTAACACACTGCATTTCTTTAGGTATAAGAAAAACATTATTACCAACCTGTTTTGTAGACGTCAGGAGCAACGTGGTCTGAACTTGTAGCCCAGCTCTGTAGGACAGCACTCCTATGTCAACGCAGAGCTCATGCCGGTGCTCTTGGCCAACTCTTGCTGAGGAGTGCAGCTATGTCCCCGTCCTGGTGCTCTCCCAACTGAAAGTGCGATTCCTCCAATGCTGGTTCGGGGCTGGAGGAGTGTAGGGTTGCAATCCTGGTGCCTCTGTTGATAACAGCACACTAATCTGAGATCGGATTCGGGCCCAGAGATGGGGAGAAGCCCCTTCCTTCCCAGCGCTCGCCCCTCGCTGGGTTCGGCTGTGATGTCAGCTGCCCGCAGCCGCTCTGCTCAGCATTGCTTTTTTGCTGAAGGGAAAAAAAAAAAATACAAGCCTCAAAGAATCGAGCCCCTTCCTCCTTTGTGTAAGTGCAGAAAAAAAGCCATCTATATAGTGTTACAGGATTAGCATTAACAGTTCGAGGCTTAAAGCACCTTTCAAAGGCAGCGCCCCAAGGCTTCAATGCGTTACTTTTCCATCCAAGACTTGTTCTACTTTCTGCATCTCGATTTACCTCTGCTGTTACAGGTGGGAGAGGAAAGCCTTACCCAGCAATACACATTTCTCCATGTCTGTTGAAGACCATGCCCTGGTGCTCCCATTCCCACTCGCTGTGCGGGGACAGAGTCAGGTTTTACTGGGGTTGATGGGGGAATGGGACTGGTGGGGGCCTTAGCACCAGTATCCCCACGCAGCCAGGATTCGTGAGGGCTGCACAGCTGATGGGGCACACAGGGAGGCTGGTGCTGGATCCCCTCCCACTGCCTTCAAGAGGCAGGGGGATTTTAAGGCTCTGATATTCCCATGGAAGACTCCCATCGTGCAGCTTTATGCACCCCAACTCTTCCCTTCTCTTCCCTCCCATTTCTAGAGGTAGCAGCAGAGGAGAAAAATCAATTGACTCTTCTCATCCTGTTTGTAAGACAGAGAAAACTGGCGAAAACATGTTTCCCTCTCCTCCTCCTGCAGTTTAATATTCTGGTCCTGTTCTACAGGGCAAGTCTACACTGATTAAGTTTGATGAGGTTTCACTGCCTCTTTGGGGAAGACTTTCTCTTCTAAGCTATTTTCTTTTGCCAGGGGATGCGCCCATCCTGCAGAGCTGAGCGCATCGGAGCAGAGCAAACCACTCTTCATTTATTTCCAAGATAACACTTTCTTCTCGTGTTCAGCTTCCAGAAAAGCAAGTACTGAAGGACGAGACGGCCTCGCTGCGTTCTCCTTTTGCAGAACTCTGCCCAGCCCAAGGACAAAGCCTGTGCGAAGGTTTGTTTCAGGACACCATGGACTTGGCCCCTGCACTCTGCCCAGAGGTGCACGTTGTGGGTGAGATGGAGGGAAACGTTTTTTGCTTCAGGAAACAACAGAGTTCAAAGCTGAGGACACATTTTGTTTTGTGCAAAAACTTAAATAGGTTTATTGAATTGATCCAAACCAATGACCTAAGTGGCCTGAATTCCACCTCTAAGTCTGCGAGCAAACCAAAGGCAAATTGTCGGCGCGCGAAGTATAATCCCCATGAGAGAAACCAGCATAAAAACGGATATAGACTTACAGTTTTCCCTTTTTCTTTAGAATTACATACGGATGCATAATTAATAGGGTGCGAGAATAGACCTTCATGTTTAAATCATGTTTGAAGTTTCCAGTAAGTGCAGAACAGCAATCACAGCAGCGGAGGGCTGAGATGGCTGCAGCCGCCCCAGTGCCGCTCTGGGGACGGCGTCTGCCCGCTGCCTACAAAGGCTCCACGAGCACCGAGGGTGGCACAGCTGCCAGGAATACATATTTTAGCCTCCGGGCTGCTTTCAGCACATCGTTTGCATTTTCCAATCTGCACACGAACAGCACCTACAGAATCTCATTTCCAAGCAGAAAAGGCGAGCGGCGGAGACGGAGCGATGGCAGAGCGCAGCCAACCCAGAGCCAACCCCAAGAGCACCGTGCACAGACCCTGAGCTGCCCCAAGCCCTGGGGACCACACGGTGCCATTGGCCACCAGGATGCAGGGGAGCCCCACTGAGCACAGTGGCACATTGAAGTGAGGGGGGACAGCCACCACGCCATGCATATTCATAGCATCGCCGGCGAAGCAGCACGCTTGTAACATCTGGTCAAAGCACGGATATTCAATGAGGACGTCTCCAAAAAAAACAGCGGCGCAGCATCTCGTCTCAACACGCGTGCAAAACTTTGGTATGTAGCTGTTACCCAATTCCATACGAACCAGGTGCTTCTTCCACTGTGCAGACTGCCCACGGCAGATTTTTATGCATGAACAACAAAATTTTTTCCTGACAAAAGTAGCACTATCAGAAAAGAACACAAGAGCTAGAGAAGCTTGCAAGCCTGTATTTTGTTTTCTCGAAGGAATGGGGCAGAACTGGGGATCTGTCTCGAAAGCAGATGCATGTCAACAAAGCTGGGATGCAGCACCTCGTGGCATTGCATGGACCCTCCTGACATGGACCCTCCTGACATGGACCCTCCTGACATCTCAGGGCACTCTCACTGCCCACCACCAGCCCCAAGACCCCTCTTGTTCAGAGCCCTCGGTCCCCCCAAGACACCTGGTAAGCACTAGCACTGCCCAAACACAAAACCCTTCCCCAGCAGGTATTACAACAGGAAAGCAATCCAGTTGGGGACATCCTGGAGCGTTGTTTGCGTGCCACTCCATCCTGCTTTTCAAAGTCTATCACGTAGACACGTCAGTCACTCCTGGCTTTTGGATGTGGCTCTTTCTCCTTGGGAAGCCAACCGATGCTTTTGGTTCCCACCCAATGCATGTTCTGCTGCTGCCTGAACAGCTTGGGAACATCATCCAGGAACAACATTCCCCAATGACATGGCAAGGCACACATTCATACCGAGGAGCCAGTTTGGGTGTTGATGCCAAATCCTCAGTGATACACGGCGCGTGTCCACATTGAAAGCAACAAGCAATCCTCTTTGTTCATGTTCCAGTTCCCATAAGTTCCACCATAAATAAAGCCATTATGTACTGGCAGCTCCTAGCCAGCACAGCAGCACTGCTCCCTGCATGGATGAGGGTAATTCTTAGCAGGGAAACAAACCTACAAGCACATAGCTGGGTCTTCTTCAATATCCCCTTTAGTTCTTTAATGGACTTTGTTTATTTCCCTTTCTGCGAGTCAGACATCTAATTGTGCTGAGCAAGCTGGTCAGTAATTACAGCATCTCACTAATACCAGTTACAACGCCTTAAATATATCCATGTAGGCAATTACTGCTCTGTAGAATTAGATCAGAGATTCCTTTACATCTGCATTGGTTGCCTAGTTCGGACAACGCGGCGACCGATGGACGATGTACTCAAACAGGAGGTCAAAGGGAGAAATAGGCTTCTAATATTAAACAACCATATCTTCATAAAACTTTGTTTTATAACAAAATATCTTATTAAACACAACTTTTCCCGATGCATATCTATGTATATATCATACAGAAGTGTTGGCTTAAGAGTTCCGCTATAAGGCAGCAAAATGCCTTTTGCTGCCCAAATGGAAAATACATCTTCAGTAAAGCTCTAGCTTATAAAAGCATCATCTTATGGTACACTGCCACCATCTCCCTGCTCGTGTCTTACGGCCCTGCAGCTATGGCCGTCGCCTCTACTCCACCTATGGTGGCTCCTGCTCCACTTGCTATTGCTCGTCTCGATGGTGCCAGGAGATGGATGCTTTTGGCAGGGAGATGAGGCAGAAGTCATTACCTTGTCTTAAGTCCTCCCGTTTTTAATCCTTACCGTGGGTGCGGAACGAATCCCCTCTCAACAGTCCCTACAACCTGAAGATTACGAGATAACACTTTGTCCCCTCCCCATCCTACCCCACCCCACGATCTATGTAAAACATAAAGAGAAACACACAACTCCAAGGCTATAAAGGAGCTTGGTGGCGTGGACAAAAGCATCTCGGGAAAAAAGTGCACGTGGGGACAGGGAGCATTTCAAAATTACGGTCAGGAGTTCATGTGTAACCAGAGCCCTCACTGCACAGCTCAGAAACTTTGATGCAGTTGCTTATAACAAGGTAATTTGAAAAGTCTTCAGCTTGTCAGGATGACAGAAGAACAAGGGAGGACAGAGTAAAGCGAAACGGCTGCCTGATTTACAAGAGATATAAAGGACTGAGGGTTTCATCGCACAGGAATCTGCGCTGCGTTCGAGAAGGGCGAATTTAAGCAGCAGCACACAATGCCTACAAGGTGCATGTGGGGGGTGGGGGATCTAGTGAACACCTGCTTTACAATACACGTGGGTATAGGTGCTTTTGGACCTGCTGCCTAAGAAACTGATCCGAGTCAACACATTCTGCTAGTTTGGACCCTAAATGGAGACCCTGCAGACAGGAATCCCCGGAGAAAGTGCCAGGTTTCATTTCTGGTGCAACAACAACAAACAAACTTCAATTCGAGTCTTGCTCCCTCCCAAGAGAGCAATTTCAGCCATTCCACTTTCGGGACACGGCGGTACAAGGTTAAGTGCTCATAGGAAGACCTTCCAGCATCACAGGGATGTTTCCTAGCCAAAGGAGGAACACACTCCTCACCACATTTCTGACCCACTACCCTAAAAGCCCTCAACACAATGCCAGTCTACAATTCCTTTCACAAATTAAACAGGGCCAGGCTTGCTTTGCCTGCAGGCTGACAGTGCTACAGCTTGCAGACACTGTGACACGGACACAGAAAGCAAATCTCCAAATTCATGATAGGACAGCATGGCTAGAAGCAAGAGTTTTTAAAAGAAATCCTTTCTTTCTCATAACATCCCCGTCTTTCCCTCATCTTGTGCGCTCACACCAACCAGTGGAGCCAAGTGGATGCGCTGAATGCTGAATACCTGAGCTCTGATTCAAACTGAACATTATTTCAGACCTTTTCAGTGAGCTTGAGTGTGACAAAAGGCTACGAGACAGCACCCAGATAGAAAACCAAGCTCGCTCAAACTGCAGTTG